CCAAGGCCTTATAAACTCCATATTAATTGCTCATACAACCAATGTGGGACTATATATCTCAACAGAACTGCTTGCAACTTCTCTGAATAAGTGTGCACCGAAAGCCTATGTTGGGGATGTCCCTTCTGCATATATGTGGGACAAAAGCCAAAATCACAAAATACGGTGCTGTGTATACATATAGAAACAAAAAAAACAGAGAAGCTAAATGGAGCACATACATAGCAAAATATTATCACTAGCACATCACGTGTCCAATATTGTGAACAAACTAATCCTTTAAAAGACAACCATATATAGCTTCGACTATATATCTTTTTCATCTCCAATTCAAGTCCGGAATTCCTTCCTAATTTCATGCATTTAATGTATTAGCAACATGATCAAAATTTCTTTAAAATTTACTGCCAGCTATATATAGCTAACCAATGCATATCTAATTTTCTCCTTTTAATTAATTTCTATCAGGATAATTACTGGCCAGGCTAGGTGCATCTGTTTTAGCTTCATATCTAAGCTGTTACCAGCTGCTAGGGCATAAGAGGAAATCAACTATTTGTCCTTTTTAACGATAAGGCACATATGGATTCATTGAATAAATATTTATCACGCAAGGTTATGAACGTAACCTCGTCCCTATATAGCTGCATATTGTTTTGGACAACCAAGCTAGCATTCCCCTTGAAAAAAAATCCAAAGCAACACCATCAATCCAATAACAAATCTTGTCTCAAAGTAGGTCTCAAAACCCTAGTTCATTCAAAAGAAAAACTTCCCCCAAGAGTTCTACATCGCTACAACATGGGGGCAAAACCACCATCGCCGACGTTGCTATCGACATCATTGTGGTTATCGCCGTCACCTGCCTTCCAATACATTATGATGGGTGACGTTATTGGAACAGAAAGTGGTGACTGCATGACCTCTGATCATATAATGGACTATGAACCTGAACCACCTTTTACGTATAGCAAGCTCGGAAGAAGCATAGCCAGAGAGAAGAGGCAGTTTCCACCACCGATGACGTGTCATTGGACTTTCAAAAGGGAATATAGCGGAGATGGAAGATTAATCATAACAGCAGAGAAAACAAGTCATTCCCCTGAAGAAGAAGAAGAAGAAGAAGAAGATAATGATGACGTTGTTTACTGTGAAGAGTGTGGATACCCGACCAATGAGGAGGAGTTTGAGGAAGAGTTGTTGGCGATGGAAGCTTCTAATTTGTTGCAGAAACCTAGTTTGGAGACGGAGAGTCTGCCATGTTGGGATTTACGTGAATGCGTTACATATGCTGGTGCTAGTGGGTTGGATCGGGTTGGAGATTCAAGTCCCTACTTGGGCCGGCCTTGTTCGGCCCCTATTCGGCCCATGACTCCTGTCATGTGATAGTGATAGTGATAGTGATGTCACCTCTTCTTATATAATATAGTTGTAACAAAACGAAAAACACATAAAGATGCTACTAGTTAATGATAGTGTTTTTCTTAATTAATAGTAGGTATTGTTTTGTATTTAGTAGTAGCAACTAGCTAATGGTTAATGGCATAGTGGTACCGTTTTTTCTTCTTAACAGTCATCGTCGACATTTTAATGATTAGTTTGGAAGAGTAGCACTAGAGAGCTAATTAATGTGATTGCATACAATCTCCAAAAAAAAAAAAACAAAAAAAAAATTGATTGCATATTGAACTTATCCAAATTTATGGAGTTTGAATAAATTCCAATCAATGAACATACAGACAAGTTAAAAAAGAAAACCCGTGTAGATAAAGTATGGTTGTTTTGCTTTTTTCTTTTAAATATGGGTATAAGACTTCTCCTATCGTTATAAAATCCAAGTTCTCCGGCCACTTTCACATGAAAAAACAGCCATTTTTTTTCTTTCTAAAAGTGGTAGGACGTATTTTTCTTCTCTCAGCTGCAAAAAATATCTTTTTCAACTTGCTGAAGAAGTATAAAGTACTTTAAATATATATTACAAAGAATCAAATATACTTTGCTTTTGTTGCTGTGACTCATGAGTAGGGATGTTAAATGAAATAGGGGCCTTTAACAAGACTTATGAATGTCTTAATTTACATGTCTAAAATAAATTTATCTTAAAATATTTAATTAAAAATATATGTATTTTATATTTTAATAAATTAAAGTCATAATAAATATAAAATTAAATTAAGAAATAAGCAAACACATTCTCAACAATTAAATTTATTTATGTATAATTTTTTTTTTTAAAAAAAAGAACATCATGAGACTGGATGAAGACAAAAAAAAGGGTTGTTTGATGAAGGGAAGAAATATCAAAGGCAAAAATCCAATCAAACAGTAACAGGCATTGGGGAGTCCGAGCGGGGTCCGCCGGATTGGAATTGAATCATATAAATCCAAGCGACAAGTGAGCGTTGTAAGTTGTAACAATATAAATAATGCAGGCAGAAAGACATATAATATACACTAAATTAATTACTATAATTAAATACACAAACTTTTATATTATATTAATATTTTATGTTGGGTATTTTGCATCAGGTTCAAATATCAATGTCATGGTTTTACTAATATATATATATATATATATATATATATGGGATATGATCAACTTACACCGGTGTAAGAATAATAAATCTTACATCAAATCTTAACCGTTGATTTCCGTGCATCCAATGGTTGAGATTTATTGGGAATTAAAAATTAATTAATGAGTGAGACCTAATAAATCTTAACCGTCAGATGTAGAAAATCAATGATTAGGATTTGGTGTAAGATTTATTATTCTTACACCGGTGTAAGATGATCTTGCCCCTATATATATATATATATATATATATATATATATGAGGTAGGATCTTTTGACATCGGTGTCAAATTTCAATTTTGACACCTCATCTGAGAGCTGTTAGATCAAAAAAGATCAACGACTCTGATTTGCAAGCATGTGACACCATTGATCTTTTTTGATCTAACGGCTCTCAGATGAGGTGTCAAAATTGAAATTGGACATCGGTGTCAAAAGATCCTACCTCTATATATATATATATATATATATATATATATATATATATATATATATATATATATATATATATATATATATATAGGTAAGATCCTTTGACACCGGTGTCAAATTTTAATTTTGACACCTTATCTTAGAACCGTTAGATTAAAAAAATCAATGGCTCTGATTTGCAAGCATGTGATACCATTGATTTTTTTATCTAACGGCTCTGAGATGAGGTGTCAAAATTAAAATTTAACACCGATGTCAAAGGATCCTACCTCATATATATATATATATATATATATATATCAATGTCATATTTTAAAAGAAGATATTGTAACAACTAAATAGTGTTACTACTAATATTATTACCAATTAATTTCATCGTTAGATCGATTATATTGATCCAACGATTGTATTTATTTCATCTTTGTATGATTATAATTCTTCGTATTTAATACTTTATATTTATTTCCACCTTTATATGGTTATGGTTTCTTATATTTAATGCTTTCACATTAAATATGGAGAATCATAATCATACAAAGATAAAAATAAATATAATCGTTAGATCCATATAATCGATTTAGCGATGAAATTGATTAATAATAACATTGATAGTAACACTAAGTGATTATTACAATATCTTATCCCATATATCAATTATTAATTAATTCAGCTTGCTTACATCAAAATCTCTTTTCATGGCATGTCGGGATCTCAATTTAACTTTAAAAAAGAAAATCAACTAATGCATAAAATTTAAATATAATATTATTAAAATAATAATATATAATTTAGAGTAAATATCCTTTTTAGTCCTCAGAAAATTTCACGAGACCCGTTTTAGTCCCTAGCAAATAAAATGGTCCATCGTGGTCCCTAAAAAATTTAAATTGGACCCATTTTAGTCCTTTTGAGGACTAATATGGCTCTTTTTTGAATTTGTGAGGGACCACGATTTCAACTAAATGGGTCCTTTTGAATTTTTGAGGGACCACGATGTGCCTTTTTATTTTCTATGGACTAAAACGGGCCTCGTAAAATTTTCTGAGAACCAAAAAGAGTATTTACTCTATAATTTATTACAACAGATTTAATGCTATTATATTATGTATTGTTTCACGTGTAATGAAATCGAGATCAGAAGGAATATAAATAATTGAATTTTTTTTCCTTTTGTCTTTTGATGCAGATAAAACATTGTAACCTAATTTATTAAATAATACAAATTTAAAAAATAATAATGTTCTTTAAATTAGTTTATATTTGATACTTATATTATTTTAACAATAAAATAAAGGGTAAATGATTTTTTCAATTAATAGAAATAAGTTATCTCCGATTAACTCAAAACAATATCTTTTTGAGACAGAAATCAAAATAATTTTGTATTCTAATATATTGCAAGGTATTCCAGATTCGTCATATGGGTTTAGGCAAGCTCAAATAGAGCCTAAATCAGAGATAGGATGTGAGAATAAGGTATATCAATCAAATCCGAAAGCCGAACAAGGAGCTCGAAACATGGATATGACCCAAGAATTAGTGGCATCAGGGCCCTACCAAAATTTCAAGGATGGATTACCATTAACTACCCATCATTATTTTAACCGTTTATTATAATATATATAAGAGAAAAAAATCCCATAAGACACACATAAGATATCAGAGATTACTTTTATCATTATAATTTTTTAATCTCATAATCTAAAACGATGTCGTCGTTCAAAGCTCAATAAAAATATTTTTTCCTAATATAAATTACAATTTTTTGTATTAAAGATTTTTTTAATATTTTTAGGCACGTCAAATTTTTTGAGCGGTGGGATGTGGAAATTTCGGAGCATCAACTTCAACTTAAATTTCAACACGAAAGACTTTGTTGAACTGTATGCGAACGATGACGCTTTCCCACAGTTTCACGTTTTCGTCCTTCGTCCTTTGATTCCATTCTTCAATTCTTTTCTTTACCAGGTGTCCAGGTATTACTCTTTTTCTTTCTTCTTCTTCTTCTTCTTTTCTTTTTTCGGATGTCTTAGATTCTTTGTTTTTCTCTTGTGATTTTAGTAATTCATGTAGTGGGTTCCTGAATTTGTGACTCTAATTTTACTGATTAGTTTCAATACGCACCCTTTCGAATTTTCTGTAATATGGATGAGTTTCTTCATTCGTTTGGTGGTGTTCATCTGAGTTTTTGTGTTTGTAGAAATGGGGAATTTGGGGGGAAGGAAATAATACATTCATAGAAGTGCTTCTTGAGAGAATTGTGATGTGTATTTTGTGCTACTGGTTTGAAAATATTACTGTTCTCCCTGAATTACAGCAGGGCGAGGTAGAACTTCTGAGATATTGTTTAGGGTGTTGGTGGTCTTGGATCTACACTTCCGATTTCATGAATGATGTGACAGACACTGTGGGGGTGAGATTTGTTGTTAATTGATTGTATCTGTTTTCTTCATTTGAGGAGTAGAGGTGTCACGTGGGAGCTTTTTTCTTTTTAATTAATTTTTAGCAGTAAATTTTTATTGCCTTGTTGAAAAGTCCCTGGAGAGATTGTTTGGAGTTGCAATTTTTCTCTCGTTTTATTATTATAAGTGATGGGCTGTTGCCTGTTTATAATGCTTTTCTGTCTCTTTAATTTCCTATGGATTGCAAGGGGTCATTTGATGCTTACAATGCCTTAGTTTTGAGAAGTCAAATTTCCTCCCTTGGTAATTTGGTTTTAATGCAGATATTGAGTTTTGCCGGATATGGGTTCTTTTTTTAGTGTGGCGAATACCAAATCTGATCGAAGTGAGTGGAAAGGGGTCTCTCCGAATGAGACATGTAAGAGGCAAAGAATGTCACTTGCCGTTGATGAAGAGAGTCCAAGACTAATTCCTAATCTCCCTGATGAGTTATCACTTCAGATTATTGCTAGAGTTCCTAGGATTTGTTACTTCAATGTAAGGCTGGTGTCAAGGAAGTGGAAGTCAACTATCATGAGTTCGGAACTATATAAAGTAAGAAAAGAACTCGGGACAACTGAAGAGTGGCTATATCTGTTGATTAAGGTTGGAGGAAATAAGCTATTGTGGCATGCTCTAGATCCTCGGTCTCAGATATGGCAGAGATTGCCTTGTATGCCCAATGTTGTTGATGAAGAAGAATCTAGAAAGGGTTCTTCTAGGCTTTGGATGTGGAACATGGTGGAAGGTATCAGAATTGCTGAAGTTATTAGAGGCTTTCTTGGACAAAAGGATTCATTTGATGAAATGCCCTTTTACGGTTGTGCTATTGGAGCTGTTGATGGATGTCTCTATGTTCTAGGTGGATTCTCTAAAGCTTTAACTATGAGATGTGTCTGGCGATTCGATCCGATACAAAACATGTGGAGCAACGTGACTTCTATGTCTACAGGTAGGGCATATTGTAAGACAGGCATCTTAAATAACAAGCTTTATGTTGTTGGAGGGGTTAGTCAAGGTCAAGCTGGACTAGTTCCTCTTCAGTCTGCTGAAGTTTTTGACCCCTCTACAGATACATGGTCTCATGTACCTAGTATGCCATTCTCGAGAGCTCAAGTCCTGCCCAGCGCTTTTTTGGCTGACATGTTAAAGCCTATTGCCACGGGATTGACCTCATACATGGGAAGGTTGTGTGTTCCACAAAGTTTGTATTCATGGCCCTTTTTTGTTGATGTTGGCGGAGAAATCTATGATCCTGAAACAAACTCATGGATAGAAATGCCAATTGGAATGGGTGAGGGATGGCCTGCACGGCAGGCAGGTACAAAATTGAGTGTTGTAGTGGATGGTGAATTATATGCTTTTGATCCTTCTAACTCTATGGATAGTGGAAGGATCAAGGTATATGATCAAGGAGAAGATGCTTGGAAAGTTGTTATTGGAAAAGTCCCAATATATGATTCTGCTGATTCAGAGTCTCCGTATCTTCTTGCTGGTTTCCATGGAAAGCTTCATGTCATTACAAAAGATGCCAGTCATAATATTGCTGTTCTGCAGGCTGACCTGCGCAATAATTTGGATCCTTCACCATCAACATCAACATCAACTCCGTCACAAAGTTCCTTGCATGAATTTCCGGAATCGTCTGAATCAGATGCAGTTGTTTGGAAGGTAGTTGCAAGTAGGGGTTTTGGGCAGGCTGAACTAGTCAGTTGCCAAGTTATTGATATCTAGCTAGAAACCAAGCAATGGATATGACACCCTTTGAAGTTGTCAGTTTGTTGAAAGTTACATGTTATCCCCATGGAGTGAGTCCGTTTGTATTTTGAGTCAGGTGTCAGCAAACGAGGAGTGCTGTAATAGTTTGCATGTACCTATTGATATTTTTATCTGAGGTAAATAAGTACCATATATAGTAGCTGTCAGTTTCGACACTGATATACCAGAATAATATCAGAACAATTCATTATTTATCTACTAGAGATATTAAATAATGCAGTCAACGTGCTGCATACGGTATTTATCTTGGAACTCGTACTATATAATTCAGCCATACTTTTTAGGGGACAATGACCATACTGCCACTTTTTAAGCAAAATTTTACCTGATTGCCACTTCTGAAAATTTTTTTGCCAAAATGCCATGCCTGAATCCCGCTGGTCTGACAAGCGGGAATGGACTGGACACGTGTCAACGTCTGAATGGTGAACCATTCTCGCTGGGCTGCTCAGCTAGAATGACAGAATGCTGACACGTGGCAAAAGCACAAGCATTCTCTGGATGTCTGTACTTTTGCCACGTGTCAGCATTCTGTCATTCTAGCTGGGCAGCCCAGCGAGAATGGTTCACCATTCAGACGTTGACACGTGTCCAGTGCATTCCCGCTTGTCAGACCAGCGGGATTCAGGCGTGGCATTTTGGCAAATTTTTTTTCAGAAGTGACAATCAGGTAAATTTTTATTAAAGAAGTGGCAATATAGTCAATATAGTCAATGTCCCACTTTTTAGCCTCCTTTTAGTTTTTTTATTTTATTTTTATGTTACACATGTTTCATGCTTACAGATTTTGCTTCTATCCCCTAAAGAAGCGCAAGTAATGAAGAACTGTTTGTTCTCGTGAGAAATTCTTGTATACAACTAGGCCAATCAGTATTACATAATTGCGTAAATCTTTATAGGGAAAAACAAATATTATGTTGTAGGAAAAAAAATTAGGTCATGTCAAAGAGACAATCAATTGTGGGGTTTACTATTTTTAAAATAAAAAAAAGTAAAAGAATTGATGGGCCTATTTTTGTATCTCTGTAGAAAAATTGCTTGTGTCATGTGAAAAGAGAAAAATATTACCTATCTTTACATCATAAAAAATATGGGAAATAATTATGTCATATTGCATGAGATAATTATCTCATGCAACAGAGATAAAGTAGTGGAGTCTACTGTTTCTTCTTTTAAAAATAGTGGATCTCACTGTTTTGTCTCTGTTGTATTATATAATTATCTCATGTAACATGAGATAAATAGATCCCTAAAAATATTTTATATCATTTTAACAAGGGAAATATAAGAATCATGTTGCAGGAATGACACTGTTCATTCCTGCAACAAGGATCCGCTTCCGTATCTTAAGGATACAGCGTCGTATCCTGATTTGGTTTGACTTTTTTTTTTTTAAGCGTGGGATCCACACTTGATTTGTGTGTGCAGGAAAGTGCTCTAGTCATGTCACATAACAAAAAGCGAACCCTTTAAACAATCGTGTAATGCACAAGATAATATAGAAACATATATTGGATAGAAATACATAAAAAATAAAAAATGATAAGTTAGAACTTTTGTAATAGAAATTGTTTGTTTATCTTAGAATTATATATGATCTTTAAATTCAATTAGTTTTATATAAAGTTAAGAAGAAATATTATTATGAAATTGGGTAAATAGTCTATTTAGTCCTTGAAAAATATAGGGTCAATCATATTGTGTTGTATGATGATGGTAATACGCCTTTGTAATGAGTAACTGTAATGAGATTAATGAAAACAGATGTAGTTCCTCATTGGTCATGTACTGTGTAAGTGTAATGACATTAATGAAAGAGAATTTGAATTTGGTGTCCCATTTTGATCCAGTCTTAATTTGAGAGTGCATGTATACTAATTCTGTATACTAAAGCTAATTTGGTATAAAAAGTGTGCATTTGTGTAATAATGCACCGTAGCTAGAGCAAGATACATAATGGCAAAGCTCATAAACCATAGCTGCAGTAATGTCGATTTGGCAAGCTTGCATATAATTACAAACCACAAATGCAGTATGCATTTGTTCACTAATACACTAAGTTGACAGGCAAAATTTTCATCTAAAACAAATGCGCAGGTTGGGAGGAATAGTACTGAACAAGAAACAAAATAATGTGGCTGAAAAAATATGAAGAACATACACATGTGCATAAACCAAAGTTGGACCACTTGAAACAAACCTATGCCTTAAAAGTCTGGAAACTTGGACCAAATCTGCACTTAGGGCCTGTTTGGATGAGTTTTTTTCTTCAAAAGTTGCTTTTTTTTTTTTTGAAAAAAAGCATTTCTCATTTTTAGTTCGTCTGGATGTCTACTTTTAAAAAAAGCAGAAGTCACAAAAAAAGTCAAAAATTTACTTTTTTCGGAAGCTAAAAATTTTAACTTCTACAAAAAGCAGAAGTTAAAAGCCAAATATTTTTTTAAAAAACTAAATATTTTTATAAAAATATAAATAGCTTTAACTTTTGAAAAAAAAACTTTTAAAATAAGGAAGAGATAAAAGTCACTTTTTTTAAAAGGTGAACCAAACACGCTCTTAGACCACACACTTGTAGAGTATACCAGAACATGGTATGACTTAACAGATTAGACACTTGGATCAGACTTGCTCTTAGAGCACGAGAAGAATTTCAGTGACCCTGGATGCCTGGACCATTATTTAATCAGTGGTTCAGACCAGTCAAAATTATACAATTAATGAAAAGAGAGAAGAAAGAAGAAATAAAAAACAACTTTTTGTCCAAATATCATCTCTTAAATGGAAAGACCATATGGAGGTTGGAGCACAAAAAAAATTTTCCTGTACCACACCTACGACTTAGACATAGACCAGAACATGATATGCCTTAAGCCTTTAACAGACAAAATATATATAATATACCACGGGGTATTTGAAGTGGGTCGGCCCTTTATAGCTTCAAGAAATCAATAAGAGTATTACACATAAGCTAACATATGTATTGGAGAGAGAAAAAATATTAATTGTAATATTATGACTATATATTCACTGAAATCATACTTTGATCATATTTTCATTATATAAAGATTTATTGGACCTTTATCACGGAAATATTTAATATATTACCGTAGTATTTATATTTGGCCAATAAAAACATACTACCCGTGTTGACATATTTCTTAAAAAGAAAAAAAAATAATTTAAATATTATGCCTATATATTTTCAAAAATATATAGTATGTCATTTCATTTTAAGCGGATGACAATATTGTCCTTTATCACACCACACCTCCAGCAAAGCTTACCACTTGCACCAACCATAAACCAAAACCCCTGTACCTTAACCAGAACTGCATACCGCAGAGAAGCACACCTACAACAGATCTAAAATCTGCTCATTTTACCATAACTAGATAGATCATAGTTGCACCAGATTGTAGACTCATTCACTACACCAAACCAAAATGATTCCTTTACCAGCCACTAGTCCTGAACTACACCAGACTTGCATCAAACCCGGACACTTAAATTGCATAAAATTAGTCATTAGTAACACTTAATTTGAATTTTAAACTTTTTAAAATTAAAAATATTAAAAATAAGACTAAAGCAATTAAGTGTGAATTTGAAAGAAAAAAACTTACATGTAATTAATATATGACATTAATACCACTTGCATGTAATGTATTTTATATAGCAATATATAGATTTTAAAGTAAATACCATTTTCGTTCCTCGGCAAATTTTACGATGCCCGCTTTAGTCTCTAACAAATAAAAAGGCTATTCGTAATCCCTAAAAAATTTAAAGTGGAGCCATTTTAGTCCTTTTGAGTGACTAATGCGGGTTTTTTTTGAATTTGTGAGGGACCACGATTTCAACTAAATGGGTTCATTTTGAATTTTTTAAGGACTACGAATAGCCTTTTTATTTGCTAAAGACTAAAGCAAGTATCGTGAAATTTGATGAAGATCAAAAAAGATATTTACTCTAGATTTTAAAATGCTTGCATTGGTTTATTGCATACAATTGTGTAAGCTGCAGTTACACTGGAACCTTAGAAAGTGGATTCTCTTATATTAAAAAAAAAATGACATGATTATGTGAACAACCATAATCATATAAAGTGGATCAATAATAATAAGAGAGGAGAGAAAAATATTAAAATAAATAATTATTAAATTATAACCGTTAATTCATAATTATCCCACGTAATCATATCATGTATTTTTAAACACGAGATGACCCATTTCCATTTTCTTATATGCGAGACAAGCAAACGTTTTCCACCTTTATTCTATTTTCTTGTATGAGAGATAAGCAAACGTTTTCCACGTTTATTGTACATTAATATTTCTTTCCTTGAATTATCATGCGCCCACTAGTTCAAACAGTGAGAATGCAATTATCGGAAATATTTTTTATGCTCTAAGACTCCCTAATAATTTGGTGTTCTCTCTCACAACATTAATTTTTTTTTTTTTTTTACTCTTGTTATTTTTTTTCTTTTTCAATTTTACCTCTCATTTATACTAAGGGTGGTCCCAGTCCACAATAAATTATCTCCCAATTATCACATTTGCTAAATACTTTCACATTAAGATAATTTTCCACTAAATCATCATATGATGGATGGGACAGAAGAGACACATTATTTGAGGGTTAACTGCATCTGACCGTCAGTGCTGAGGTGGAAGCAACTTGCAATTTTCATAATGAGTGCTAATATCTTATTATTATATAGGAATTGCAGCAAAAATAAAATTACATATCAAAAAATATATATTCACATATCTATTTAATACCTCATCGTTTTATGAAAGATTATATAGAGTGTTAGAAGTAAATTAGTATTTTTTAATAATATGGGGCTAATAAGTTAGATTTGTATATTGATTAACTATTATTTATATATTATAAATTATAAATATATTACTTTATCTATTTACAAAATGTAATTTTATATCTCTTCATTAATATATTTTATATCTCTTCTTTTTATTAATGATTATATTTTTTAGACGTAAATTAATATTTTTACAATTCGCTAATAAATCTGATTTTTTTTAATTAAATATAATTTAGATATATTATAATCAATCATTATTTCGTGAACTACTATATTTATTATTAAAAGCATGTATTTTTCATATTTGTAACGCCTGACAACCTGCAAGAATCAACGACTATCCCCACACACTAACACGAGACTTTTCAGCATGCTTTGTCCTCACTCGCACACTTCCCGAGAAAACTTCCCAGGAGGTCACCCATCCCTGAATTGCTCCAAGTCAAGCACGCTTAACTGTGGAGTTCTTCCGATCCGGGCTACCGAAAAGTAGATGCATCTTGTTAGTATAGGTAGTACCAATTAATTCTTATAAGTCATTCCCAACTGTACTGTCCCATACCAGCACAGTCTCTGGAATCCCTCTCTTTCGGGTGTTGATTCGATTCATTCATGTACCCCCGTCCCTAGAAGCCTGCCAGGAGCCGCTCCTTGTCCGTGCCCTTACGCACCGGCGATCACTCCCCGCCCTCGTCAGCGCCCGGGATGTTACATGCCCACCAGCTTTCGCCTGGTTCGTCCTCGAACCACACCGTACTGGATGAGAGGCCCTGCTCTGATACCGCTTAAGCGCCCAGATGGAGGCTTTAGCGCCCGATAGCGCGCGCTTGAGCGCCCGGTAGCGCGCTGAAGCGCGCGGGGCCTGTGACCAACACTCTCTTGTGTTGCTTCAAATGGTCCTAACTTGGGCTACAGTGCTCCGATTTGAGCACGGTTTGAAGCCACAGGTAGCTAATGAAGAAACCTACAATATAGTAGAAGTATTGAACTAAACAAGAAGTAAATTAATGATTTAAAAATGGGAAATGAACATGATGTTAAGCTTAATTTATCTGTTTCCGCAAGGTAATATGGTTATGATCACGAAATTGGGTATTATAAGTTCGGTACGTTTTAAAATGAAAAATTTATCCGGATTTTAATTGAACCCATGTGATTGTAACTGCGCTTAATATCATATTGTGATGTCAACAAACCGGTTCTAGAACGGGGTGTTACAATATTAAACGATGATTGAAATGAGATATCAAATAAATAAGTGAATGTGTGTTTTTTTATAACCAAATTATTTTTATTTTTATTTTTTGCTACAATACCTGTCTATTAATTAGATTTGTATGTTAATTATATAATTATTTATTTAAAATATGAATTTTTTTAATAAAAATATGAATTTTTTCCATTAAATAAAATTTATCACTTATCCTGACTAGATTCTTATATTATCTCATTTAATTAAACAGGTTGATTTTGAACAATTAGATAAAATTGAGATGGTGTGAAAATAAAATTTATATGAGTGTAAATTGATCCTTTCACGCAAACATAAATATACACATATACATTGGGAATGTATCAAGCAATAGCATAAGAAAAATTAATTTTGATTGCATATGTAAAATTAAATGATCGAGATTAGCTTCTCTCACGGTTTATACTTTTATTTGATACCCCCCTTAATTTTAATTGAATAAATAATTTCACTTTGGTGTGATTTTAATTTTAAGTTTAATTATGGTTTTTTTACGTGAAAATTGTTTTATTACAAACGAAATTAAGGACACTCATAAATTGAAAAAGATATATAACTCTATTCTTTACTTGAAATTGATCTGAAGTGTCTCGATAGAATGTATTACATCTTCTCAAAGAAATATGAACTCTCCTACAGTCCTACATGTCAGATCATTAGATAGGATCAAATATGAGGGTACTGAAAAAAAAAATTCCTATGAAAAGAAAAACTAAAACCGATGGAAATGAATCGTTTGATGTAAAAAAAAATATGACATGATCAAAATATTTTTTTTAATATTTTTTTTATTATTAATATTAATTTTTCTTTGTATATTTATAATTCTCCATATAATTATATTATTATTTTTTTAACAAGAGAATATCCACACCCAAAACTTGTTTAGAATGACAATAAAGATACTGCCGTTGAGAGAAATGAATCTGAATAAACAAATTTCAAGATCTAATAAATTTGAACAGTTCATTAAATAAAAAAAAATTAAGAAAACGATGGGACTAAGATATGGAAATGAAACCTCTCGTATTTTAATTATTATGATTATATCATATGAAGGAATTCTAATTATATAAAAAAAAATTAACAGTGATGAAACCTCTCACCTTACACCTTAAACTATTTTACAGCATAATTTTCTATGTAAACGATAAACTCAAGTCCAGAGACTCTTCAAGATTTGGTTTAACCTGGTTTCTAATAACAATGATATTCATCAAAACATATTTGGTTCAGCTGGATAATACAAGGGAAGGAAAGAAACAAGTTTTCACAACAAAATTTTAAATAGAAATAATCTTGTAAGATCTTGTTACTGTACAGAAAAACAATTACAGCACTCAGGCTCGGGTACATATTACAGGGATATACACTTGTATTCTAAGAGCCAAGGACAAAACACTATTTTATTTACACAAATTATATCTGCTTCTTAACCTTGAAAATGATATAATTAATACCATACCATCCCTTGCAAAAATATAACTCTCGCCATAGATGATGGAGCCCCTTATATAGCATAATCTATATATAAATAAACAAAATAGTAAGATATGATGGGGCCACGAATATGTGAACCAAGCATGAATTATTAGCCTGCATAAGGAGGTAAAACTAAAAAAAATGCTGCCTTAGTGTGACTGACTATAAGGAATGGTCCCCGAAGAAGGTTGATGAATTTGGAGCCTTCTTGGATGCTCGAGTATTCTTAAGAGTCATCATGAGTTTTTGTCTCTCACCTTCAACCTCTGCAAATTGAAGACTTAATTGAGAGTAACGGTCATGCATCTCTTTCAATTCTGTTTCCATAGCAGAATGTCTTGCCTTCAGTTCTAACATGTCTTTAATTAGCTCATTGATGTCCCTGAAGCTCCGGAATACTGCTTCGTCGTCACTGTGTTGTTTTAAGAAAGAACTGGAACATAAGAGAAAAATTGTCTCAGACTTTTGAGGTTGAATGGTCTCAATGCAATTTTTCATTAGATGCTCATGCATGTGAGCATGTCAGTAAGTCAACTCCAATAGAAATGCTGGACATTACCAATGGCAGAACCCGAAAATTTTGTGAAGGGGGGCAAAATTGTAAGTGTAATATTCATTTTAAGTTATTATTATCTACATGAGCAAAAGAAGAGAGATGATGCTTATAATTAAAGACTTGTATGAAGCTGAAGAGGGTGATTACTATTTATATGACCAAAAACAACATAAATAACAGCTCACAACTAAAGTAACATGTAAATTTGAAGGGGGCGATCATCCCTCCCTAGCTCCTCAATGCTCCACCACTGATCATACATTTACCCACTAGCAAACAAGTGCTACACTTCTGTACACTAAGCATAAGGATAGCATTTTCCTGGAGTAATTATTTGATAGAGGGAAGAAACACTCCAAGACAGGATAAGTAGGCATTTGTCATGTCTATGGTTTTATCTCTATTTAGTAAGTTAAATCATAATATACCATATACATCGGTTATCTAGCTAAATTAGGGATCCTAATTAAATAACAGTTGAATTATTCTTAGGTCTTTATAGTTTCATTGATTTTTCAAATAGGTCCTTAGACTTCAAAGTTTGTAAATGAGTCTCTAAACTTCCAAAAATTTGAAATAAGGTGCCTATCACTATCAGTTGACAGCCTTGAGACTTGAGACAGGATTAACTTTTGCTAAATTATAAGGACCTACTTGAAAACTTGGTTGAACTATAGGGACCTATTGAGAAAAAAATATAGGCCCCTACAGTTTACTTGAGTTTTCAAATAAGTCCCCATAGTTTAGCAATGGTTAACAGAGAATTATTTGAAAAAATTTAGGTCTAGGGGCCAATTAGTCAATTACAAACTTTTAAAACATAAGGAACTATTTGAAAAATTAGTATATCTAAAGGGGAACTAACAATTTGACCTTAGAAGAAATTTGGCTCCTGTAGGAATTCGTTGTGTCATCGGTAAGAAAAAAATGGTTACATTTTCCAGTGCTTCTGGAAATTAATAGCTACCTCACAGTTTACATAAAGAAAATATCACAAAGAAAAAGCAAGAGAAATAGAAAGAAAAAAGCTTAAATGAAATAACTCTAGGTAAAAGGGTGAGTTTAGTTAAAAGAATTGGATTTATGGAAGATACTAGCAGATTCTGAAGAAGATAAAATAATATAACAATTAAACAAATGGTAACTCAAGCAGAAGTAAACAACCAAGATAGGCTAAAGAACAACTGCCACATCAATAATGAGAAACATACATGCAATTTGCAAGTCAAAAGACATGAGCCTATACCAGAAATGCTTTGATGACAAGAGGAAACAGAGCTGGAACTTAAAAAGTTTTATGTTAGGTGCACATCTCTTAAATATTTATGCACCAGCCAGCAGTCTAGCTATAGGTCTTCTAACATGAATAGCATGGCAGACTCCTTAAGTGAGTTTCAAGGCTAAAGTTTTTAGAGCCTCTTAGAACTAACACCATAATACACCTGGGATAGTTGGTTCTTGACATTGTATTAATGTTTATACAACCAAGTGATCAAGAGTTCAATCCCTGCTGCCCCAACTATTCTAATTAAACTAAATTTCAGCACAACGAAAAGTAGGCTTGTGCTTTTGGCCATGCTTCATGCCCAAAGGGGTTTTGTGAGAAGACATGTGCTATAGATATTAATAAAAAGACAACATGCTTGATCCTGCACTAAACAACTTTAGCTTTTGGAATAAATTAGTTCTTGACAAATCACTGTTCCAAGTATTTGTGAAACTGAAGTAAAGGAGCTTTTGATGATCAAGGGATGCATCTTACTAATCAACATTTAAATTGAGTAAAGAATGAAAAGAGGATCTTAAGGTGAAGTGGTTCCAAAATGGCAACTGTAATTGTCAGATCTCATTACTGTTGCAAAGAAGAGTGTACCTCTGAAACTGGATGCTTGACTTCTTGGCCTGCAACGCTGCAGCAAGCTCGATCTCCAAAGCAAGCACCCTTTCTAATGCATTACCACTAACACAGATTCTATTGAACAAAGGGAATATGTTTCCTAACTCTTGATTGGCCTGAGTTAAGTACAAAATTAATAAGAATCTAAACAAACGTATGTTTTATAGAAATCAATGCAACAAGAATCATTTACCTCATGTAGCTGCATCAGTTCTCTTTGCAGACCTGGGAAACTTGGCTCGTGGCTATGACCATCTACTGGAGGAAGCAAATTCTCGTTTTTCATCCTTTCCAACTGCAATCAGAAGACAGAACTCAGAGAACACATTGGCATCAAACACAACTATAAAAGTAGCAACTCAAGGACCAGGAAAATGCAAATGCAATTCTCTTGTGCATGATATTAGGCAAGGAAAGTACTACTTTTAAGAGTAAGGAGGAATAAAGAAAAAGTGTAATGGAAACTATAATAGAGGACAAATAATGACACCTAACTTGTTTGTGCGATGTAATAAATTACCTCCTTATTCAAGTGGTCAATGCTAGATTTCAAACTTTCAGTTAAAGCCACATGCTTCTTTTCTTCATGTTGTTGCAAGTCCTCTTCAGTTCCAAGAGTTTGGCATCCATTTATAACTCTAAATGCAAGAGGGTCCTATCAAATGATTATGAAAATAAATTATTAGTGCTTACCACTCAGGATTAATGAAGGAAGGCATACATTGGATATTGCACTACGTAACTGTTTCCTCAAAGTTAAAGGCTTTGCTTATCTTGAGAACAAATAGGAAATAAAGACAAGAGGAAGGAAAAGAAATGATAATCAGTTCCAAAATTTCATCATGGTTTCCTTTCTCTCCTCTGCATACTCCCACCGTTTATTCCAACCAGGCAAAATCCTTTGACTGAACTTAAAAGAGATACATATTTCATGAAGTGAAAAGCTATGTGAATAAGTCAACCAGTTTTCTGCTACACATAGGAACAATCTATATTGCAAATTTTAAGATTATTGAAAATGTCAAGCTTCCATGACACGCAGTTAAGATTCTCAACAGAGGAACTCCTGCTTTATTGTATTACATATCATGAATAAGTAATATTATGCTCAATTCATATTAACTAGATGTGAGGGTTCTTAACTTCTGATAAAAAAATGTATAAAACACTTGAAAAAATTGTTTTTTACAGACAAAATTCCTATATACTGGCATTTGATTGGTATAAATAATTTTCATAATGATTATCATTTTCATGGATGATACTTATTTCTGATAAATGGCCACTAACTTGTCCAGAATTACTAACTGAAACAAGACAGACAGAGTGGGAGAAGGCCCTGCATGTACGTAGAGTAGGATTTTATTCTAGGCTAGCAATAGCAATCATGCACAATGTATTCCAAAAGCTTTGGTTCGAATATGATATAGAATAAACCATGTGGGTAGCTTTAATAAGTTTCAACCTCCAACAATGATAAAAGCCCTAATTGACACTTTAAAACTTGACAAAGGACTGAAATTACGATAATTTGATCGTATAAGTATACAAAAGCAATAGAGCAAAAATTATTGAAAGCTTGAGAGAATAGTTCACCTAGTAAAATAAAGAGTCATTTCTTAGTAAGATATCTTTCTGGATACTGATATGTAAGAACTAGTACATATGCATAAGAAATTCGGACAACCAACAATTTTCTGTAATGAAAATAATTTATTTATTACTGTATCAATATACCATCCAAGAAATAAGGTGATTTTTTTATGAAGTGATAATTAAAGATATTTAATAAAAATAAATAAATAAATAATTCAGTTACCTCTGGTTGCCTATTGATGAGTAAATTTGCTCTCTCTGGCTCGGGACCGCAAGCTACCCGAGTAGATATCTCTTTAGGATTCGATGAAGAAGAGAACATGTCATTGTCCTCATTCAGAACATTGACATGAGATGTCAAAGTCTCAGTCAATTCCTTCGCAAATGTAAGCTCTGCTTCAATTTTGGACTTCTCCTCATTGCATTTTAGAAGAGAAGCTTCAAGCTCTTGCTTTTCTTGCTTACAGCATTCAAGGGTTATCACTGAGCACTCCTTTTCAGCCTTTACCAGATCATAAGCATTTGACAAATTGCGTTTGTCAGAAAGTACAGCCTGTAACTCAGCCTCTAATTCCAAGATCTTCATCCCCAGCTCTTCATTTATTTTTATATGAGAAGCTTCAGACATTTTTCTATTCTCAGTTTCTTCAATTGCATCTTGTAGCTTCCACAGCATTTCCTCATTATGCTTTTTTGACAAAGACAGTTGCTGTTTTAGTTCCTGCAATTTTGTTTCATATTGTTCCTTGATAAATGCAATTCTCAAAGATTCCTGCATAGCAACCGGTGGTCCTTCATGTCCTCTTCTTTCACGGGCATTAAGACACTCAGCTTCAGCCTTGTCTTTCAGTTCCTTCAAATGAATAGACAAATTCTTGAACTCCTCTGTCTTAAAAACCTGTTCAGAAAGCCTCTTGGTAAGCTCATTACATTGGTTCTGCAGCCTTATCAGCTCACTATTTGATTGTTTTAGCGAAGTAATTGCAGTTTCCAGTTCATTCAATTTGGCCCGGAGAACTACACATTTGAATTCAGCTTCTTCCTTGGACAAAAAGAGTTCTTCAGCATCTCTGGTACAACTTGCCAGCAATTGCTCCAGCCTTGCAACCTCAAGGACACACTGGCTTTCACGTACATGAGAAGTATGGCTGACATTCTCTGTTTTACTCTTGTGCTCCTTAAGCTCTGATATTATTGCACTATTTTGATCAGCTAGTGCTCTACTCTGAGCAGCACATGCCTCTAACTCGGATTTTAGGAAGTCAAGACTTGTCAACAATGTTGTATTTTCTTCAATGCAAGTCAATTCTCTGCAAAGACAGCCATTCAATTCAGTTTCTACAGCTAGATTCTTCTTGTGAAGCACATCCAATTGCCTGCAAGTGGAATGTAGTTTCTCAATAAGATCCTCCATATGACCCTCAAACTGAGCTCTGGTAAAAATCATAACAACATCTGTAGCTATTGAAAATTCATGCATTTCAGATAAGTGAGTTTCCAGACAACTAATAGAAGAAGATTCTTTTAAAGCATCTTTAAGATGTTTCTCAGATTTCTGTAGAAGATCTGAGATTCTTGATTTCTCAAATTCTAAGTCTCTGACCAATTGCTTGAGATGGAACAACTCTTGTCTGTTCATATCAGAATCCTGCAGCTGGCATTGCTTCTCATTCAATTCTGTGGTAAGATCCATAACTGTTTTCTCCACTTTTTCTCTGACAGTTTTCTCAGCATGCATCTCATTCTGCAGAGAATACAAGCTTTTTTTCAAAAAATTAAGCTCAGATGAAATATTGGCAGATTCTTCTGTTTTGTCCTGTAAAGACAACTCCAAAGCTTTCTTTTCCTCTGTGATTGCTGCTAAGGTCAGCTTACACATTTCTAGGTCACTAGATGAAGTATCTAGCTTTATAATTTCTTGATTAAGGTCCTGATTTCTGGAATTAAGTTGTTGTAGATCAGCTTCCAAATGATCAAGACCAGACAAAAGCTCTTTGTGATGTTGAGAGTAAATTTCCTCAGCTTCAAAACCAGCCTTTATCCTGTCAACGAGCACCTCAAAATCTAATTGAAGTTTCTCCAATAGGGCACTAGACACATTTATGTTACTTCCCATCTCTTGTAAATCATGCTCAAACTTCTGTTTCATGATTAAAACACGTGATTCAGCTGTACTTAAGGATACTTGAGCCATATGTTTTTCATTGACTAAATTTTTCTTCTCTTCAATGAGTAGCAGGATTCTATCAAATGCACTCTGTTGAAGCTCTTCTAGTCGCAATAAGAGACCTCTTAAGTCTTCACATTCTGAATCCAAAGAAGCAGATCTACTACAAAGAGAAAGTTCACTGTATCTATCATCATACGATGCCAGCAATTTCTGCAACTTATTAGACGAAAATATCACATCATTCTGCAGATTATCCTTCATAGAAGCCAGCTCATCAAATTTCGTTCTGATAGCTTTTAACTCTTCCTGAAAAATGGATATTTCATCACGAAGATGTTCCTTTTCAAGGCTCTCTTTTTTCAACAAACTCTTTAACTCTGTATTTTCTGCACTGCATACCATGTATTTACTCTCACAACTTCTATACTCTGTCAGAAAAACTTCCAACTCATTAATTTTCTGAGTAAGAAGATTATTTTCAAGAGCAAGATCTTTTAAATTTGCTTCTAAAATTTGGTTCTGGTGAGCAATATCATTGCTCTTTGCTGTGCAAATCTCCTTGTACTCATTTAGCGAGAGGATATCATTCATAGCATTCTGCAGCCTCAGCACCAGTAACTCATTGGATTCATTTGAGAGCAGCAGCTGCTTAGAGAGTTGAACAATTTCCTCTTTCATGAGTTGAATATCAAGACTTGCTTCAAGCAATGTTTCATGTAGAGCCTTAGAAAACACATCTGAGTATATATTTACAAAATGCATTTGGCAGATTTCTTCTTCAACCTGTTTGTATAAACCCTCTTGTAACTGAAGTGATCTTTTCAAATCGGTTAGTAAAATGGCTTCACCAAAATGTTGTCTATGCAAGGAAGTACTCTGATTTTGGCATAGCAATAGATTGGAAGTATGACCTTCTGAATTTTTAGGATATTTCATGGGTTCTGGGCAACCCTCAGTATTTGGAAGTGAAGAATCAGAAAAGGTCTGCTTTATGAGATTCTCATTTGTCTCATGCATAGAAAGAACCTGGCAAGAAAGCAGTTCAAGATCTTTTTGCAATTGACCAACAGCAATAGAATAGTTCAATCTAGCCCTTTTAAGAGCTGCTTCTGCAGAAATAGCCCTTCTTTCAAACTCATTGTTGTGAGATTCCAAAATGCGCTTGTCTTCAGAAAATTTCATTATCTGCTCATTCATATTCTGGCGCATTCTCTCCATCTCAGTCTTACCAGCAGAAATTGTGTATAGGCAAGTCGAATGTTCATTCCTGAGGTTCTGCAACTCAGCCATCATCTGCCTTTGATTCTGCTCAAGTTCCTGAATAAGAGCTTCATAGTAGCACTCCATCTGTTCCATTTTCCGTACAAGGCTTTCCCTTTCAGTTTTGGACTGATCTAGCTCTCTTAGAAGTTCAAAAATTTTCTCTTTCATAGCAAGGGTAGGATCTGCAGAATCAGACTCATGAGGAACAAGGCCAGGTATGGTAAGATAATGAGTCATGCTTTCAGGCTGAAATACACCTGCATCAGACCCGATATCTGTTAAAAATTGCTCACCTTTATGCAAATCTATTTTCTTGTTCTCTCTTCCATTGGCAACATCGATCCCCAAAATCGGCTCTCCAGATTCTTGTTTGAGATCCTGCAAAATCTCAACCAGAGCTTCTAACTCCAAGTTAAGGAACCTAAAATCCCTTTCAGGAAATCCCATAGACACCTTCTGAATATCTTTTAACTTATCTTCCATGAGCAAAATTCCCTGAAGCCATTTAAGCTGTAACTTTTGAAATAATTTATCCTGATCTGTCTCAGTAGGTTCTCTAAGAGTACATGCTAAGCTTAACTTAGAACTTTTAAGCTGCTCAAATTCATCTTTGAACTTTGAACACTCTGATTTTAGTACAGCAACCTCTTTTGCTAGCTCTTCTCCAGATGATATCTCAGCAGCAAGTTGCTCAGAAAACTTGTGTGTTTCAACACCTATTTCATCAGCATCATTTTGCAAACTGCTAACCTTCAATTTTAGATCAAGAATAGATGACTCAACTGCTTCTAAATTTCCCTTAAGTCTGCTATTGTTACTATCTTCAGAAGCAGCAGCCACATTATTGGCAGCCGAATAATCTATGCTCCAACCATGGGCCCAATCACTGCTCTGTGACGGAAACTGATTATCAACCGCATCTCCTTTCTCTGGCTGAGGACTTTGACTGAGGGATAGTCCACCTAAATCACCAGAGATAGCACTTTTAAGGCTGTCCACTTCATGTGTACTGGAGATATCATGCTTCTCAGTATATATGCTTTCTGAAGTAGAAGAAGAGCCATCAAATCCAGCAGCTGAGTCTGCATACTCTTCATTAACCCCTGATTCTCCTTCAGGTGAAGAAATATGGGGGAGATCTTTAGATTCTCTTTTCAATTTCATTCTTGAATTGACCTAATTTCATGAAGAAAAAAGGGGGAATATGTCAAGAAAATGGAAAAAAAAAAAAAACCCTCAATTTTTAGGAAGTAAACCAAGCCAACAAACATGATTCTCTATATGAATACTAGATTGTACATCTTTTTTTTATTTTTTTTAAGAAAAATTATATTTCATCACCAAGAACATAGAATTTCCAAGGAAATATTATTAAGACTTAAGAAGGGAAAAAATATATTTTGTTAGTAATTTTTTTTTTTCTTTTTTTTTTTCCTAGAATGCATTAAGCCCTTTTGTCAAGTATCAACTAATTTGTCATCTTCTTCCAACAAATGGATAGCACGAACTAACAACAAGCAGTCAAGCACCAAAAGTAGGAATGATTTGAGTAGAGAAAGAGAGAAGGTAAAGATGAATACAAATTTAGAGTAATACTTGTAAAGGAGAGAAGGTATGAAACCTTATTTATATGACTATTGACATTCTGGTCTGGAGAGGACTCTTTGCTATCAGCAGATTCATCATGAGATCCTTGGTCAGAGGTTATCTGTAGACCCCTCTCTCTGAGTTCCCTTTGCTGCTCAAATTCTCTGAAAGTAATAACATCGAATAAGTATATCATTTTCAGCTAAAGCACATCCTTAAATGTCATAACTCATAACATGGTACCTGAAACCAGTTTTGGAAGTGAGAAGCTGCACGGTGACCTGGCTTCAAACAAGAAGAGAAACAAAACATTAAATGTCATACCAGTGATACCTCTAGCAATTGAAGAACTCTCAACAAATACTTAAGAGTGATATGCCATCACCAGGCAAATAGAAATTCATAAATGATTAGATAGTACTGCAACACAACCACACAAGTGCATATCCAATGAACAAATAAACACGAGAAAATTACATCAGAGAAATATGAAGTTCAGAGATCCTCACATGGAGTGTGATTCCAGGCTCACTTCCGTTAAGAGGCAAAGCGACAGCTGTCGGCTTCAAGGCTTCAACAAAATCAGCCAGATTGATGTTGGCCTCACCAAGAATGCTAGATCGTGAAGAACCCTGAAGTGGTTAGGCCAAAAATAAAGTGAGTACAGTTCTAACTTACAACAAGACTTATTGCCACAAGAGTCTCTGTTATTCGATAACCCGGACAACACATATATTTCTGATGATGGCAAGCAATAGCTTGTCTGTAAAAATAATAAAACTCAAATTTTACAAATACTAGTCTAGTTGTTATGTTCTTTACATGAGCTCATAGTGTCAATTAAATTTTATTCCCAACATTAAGATCCATTCAAAATCTAATTATTTCGAATAAGAAGCTTATTAAATTTAAAAAGAATGATTATATTTTACCAAAAAATAAATGAATGAATAAGAATGATTCAAAAGTATCTTTGATTATTGTATCACACTGTTACAAAATATAATCAAAATCTCAGAGCATAGATTAAGTAAACGACCAAAAAATAAGCTTATACAATATTCACCATTCATGTGAGTGATATAATGAAGGTTTCTGCATTAAGTCATAAACAATATGATTAGTGTTGCCTGATTTGGTTTCTGACTTTCACACGTGACACTTCCATAAATGCTATGGCATAATGCAATATATCAATTTAAAAGTCAGAAAAGAGTGTTACCATCCCCACAACAAGTTTATAAAGCTTCTCCTCATATTGTCTTGTTTTAATGTCTTGGAGGAGTCTTGTAGTTTCATATATTGGATCTGCCCACTTGCAGGTTCCATTTCTCACATTTGCTCTGGTTGTCTTTGCTGTAGCCTTCCCAGAGTCCGCAGGAACGAAGGAGATAAACAGTTTATCCCATCCAGATTGTGGAATCTAGATCATGCAGAAACAGAACTTATTTTCAGTAATTGCATAAAGAAATAGATCTAGACAACACCAATAACAGTAATTCAGTCCTAAAGCAAAGAGGATTTAATACAGACTTCTTCCAAAATTATCAACTAATCACAGTGACACTGATAAGAACGTTGGGATGCACCACCTCAAAAACTAGCTCAAAGGGTGGGAGTACCTAAGGCCTTATAAACCCCACATTAGTTGCCCATACAACCAATGTAGGACTCCAAGTTCCATACCCTTGCAAATGGGTCTAACATTCCACCACGCTCCGCAGCCTTGGCACCCACACGAGCTGGCTTTGCACTAGTCTTTAACTAACCCCGGGCAAACTCTGCAATGCGAGCGTCACCACCTGCACCGCTTGATTGCAATTGGGAGACATAGTGGAAGGCTCTGATACCATTTGATAAGAACCTTAGGATGCACCACCCCAAAAGTTAGCTCAAAGGGTGGGAGTGCCCAAGGCCTTATAAACCCCATATTAGTTGTCCACACAACTAATGTGGGACTCCAACTCCCATACCTTGCAAATGGGTCCTAACAGACTCTTAAATATAAATTCTCTCCCAGATATCACCCGAACAGAGATAATAAGTTTAATGCTGACCAAATTATGGGCCATTTAACACTTTTCCAGATACGAAACTCCTTCATGTTACATTCTCAAGATGGCATTTTAAAATGGCAAACAGTCAAACAACTAGTACAAATAGTTCAAGAGAGCTAAGTTGATAAACAAGTCAATACTCAGATACTTTGTAGAGCTCGATTAACTTTTCAGTAAGACAGGAGGAAGTTGAACCTAATCACTGCTGCAGTACGCAAAACTTGGTCAAGAATTTTAAATCTTCTTCAACAATTGCATAAATCAAGAAGTGTTCATTCTTCACACAAAGATAGTAGATAAGTTTAGTTTTAATTATGTCGTAGTTGAACAGTCCTTGACCCAATAAAAGTTTAGAACCACTACAACGGATGATTGAGCCATCACGTTATTGGTATAGGAGATTTCTGATATGAGTGCCGTTTATTTTAGTTAAAGCCATGGACTCTGCAAATTTGATACTTGACACTTCTACTTATTGTTTGGTGCTGGGGCCAGTGAAAATATTGTAACTTGACATATAAACAGGTTACTTGATCATCTGCTTTTCTAGTTTATTTATTTTTTTCATGAAAATACTTTAGTGGGTCTGAAATTCTATATTTTAGCTTGTTAACCAGTAAGCCAAGGTTTCAATTCAGCTCATCTAGCTAGGACAAAAGGCAGGGAGGAAGGGGGAGCAGCTAAAACACAAACCGTCTATGGGTCAATGGGTATTATTCTCTCACTCTGCCTTTCTCTTCTTTGCCTCCCATCCAAAATTCTTTACTTTCCTCATTTCTAGGCCATTTTATACACGTGCTTGGTCCTTAGGTCTTATTGTTAGAGAATAAAATAAAAGCATTAAAAAGGCCCTCACTCAAAACCTTAAGGTTTTGAGTTGAATTGGTTCTTTACATGGTATCAGAGCTTCAGTGACCATAAGATCACGAGTTCGATCCTCACCGCCTCCCACTTGCGGAATTAAATAAGCATAAGGTAAAACAAAAAAAATTGAGCCTATGCAATATCCAAGTTTCAAACCCAAAGGGCTCTTACGTAAATGCGTGTTTTAGAGAATAATATAAACCATTAAAAAGGTCATCACTCAAAACCTTAAGGTTTGGGGTTGAATTGGTTCTTTACACTTATCTATCCCAATGTAAGGAACATAAACATTTTTCATGCTTTGAGCATGCTGTGTTTTGAGGCTGCTTTGGAAGGACCAACTTGATAGTTATAAATTATAATTCCAAATTCCTATTCATTATTTCTGTACTGCATGTCATCAAATGGTATAAATACATTAAAATGAGCCTTAAAAAATTGAGGTAGGTTATATTAATTCATATGCAGAACAAGATGAGGTTTTCATTACAAAATCTCTCGTCATAAATCCTACCTAGATAATTTCTTTGGAGTTTTCTGTTTGAATTAGACTTAACTGAGATTAGAGAATCATAAGAACAAATAAATAATTAGTAACACTCACTCAAACAACATGAATACTAAACAGAAATTGGTATGACAAATGAGAGTGTCAAGTGTCAACCATCACACTAACATACTGAAAGACATGCAGGGTGTAAGATAATGCCAACTGAATTTTGAATAAATTCTGAGAACTGTAAGTTTAAATGCCAACTCAGACCAATTGTGCAATGCACTCTGATCATGTTTGAGTGGGAGATTGGGGTTCTCTAGTTCAAATAACAAGTTACAGGGATTATATTTTTTTCCCCTTCTACCAACCAAAAAACCAAAATTTCTTGTGACGAAATTTGAAAGTACCAACCCAAAAAATGAAGGAAAAGCTGCGTAGATCGGAAACTTACATGTGTAGCATGGAATTGGAGCCGGAAAACCACCTTTACTTTTGTCTTCTCAATCTTCCACTTAGTAATTCTCGACATTGTTCAGAAAATCAATCACGCCTAGCATGCATTACTGCATATCCAGTTCCCACACCCAGTTAATTGCTTACCAAGGTAGCCACCAATGCAATAACAGTAACTGTAGTCACCTGAATGCAAAAGAAGCAAAGAATCCATGTTCAAACGTATCCTTTCTTAGGCATAAACTTAAGTAACTCTACTCCTGTGACTTCGTGCTCCATTAAGAAAACTTGAAAAGCAACTCGGCTACATAATAATCTCCTCAAACCAATTTAGAACCCAATGATCCATAATTTCAAGCAATACGTCAGATAAAAAGTTACTTAAAATGTCGTAGATGAATTAAACGTTTGCTTTAGTAAGCAAACATGCAGAGCTAAAAATGCAGCTCCAGCACAAATTTTGGAACCTAAGAAAGAGTAAGAGATGTCCAAACCGAGCAATGCATTAGTCTTTTCTATATCACTTCATAACAGCAATGAACTAGAAAAATTTTGGGGTGGAAGAGATCCAGTAATATAATTATGAAGGCTTTCTTCGCATTAACAAAAAGGTACATCCGCCAGAGGCAACAATTGCATACATAGGAACTTCCAGCACTAAGAACCTATAACTGTGAAGAGGCTCATAAATTCCCACTTCAAGTTAATTGAAGATGAGACAAAATAATAGAACAAAAAAGCTAGATCTCCAACATTTGACTAAGCCCCTCTTTCAATCTGACAAGAGTCCTTCCAACTAAACTGAAACACTTCTCTTTCTGAACTCGCATGGCAAAGCATTTTTCACCAAATGGAACAACTAAATCCAACATTTCTTATCCATTTTCAGAACAAAAGACTAGGAGAAAAAAAAAGGATGGGAGCAGAACCAAATTAGAAAATAAACAATAAATAAATAAACTTTTTTCCATGGCATACCTTGCTGAGAGACGAAAGGTGGAAAATTTGACCGGGAAAATCGGCGGATCGAGCTAAAAAAGAATTCGAATTTGAGCAGATGTGGAAGTGAAAGATGGGAAAAGGAAGAGGACCCAGAAAGATGCTGATTAGAGACAATGGCACTTACTATATACCGAACCCAAAATAATAAAACTCAGAACCCAAGGACTGACAAAAGCAAAGGGTAAAAGAGAATCCTAAAAAAAAAAAACCAATGCTTCCACAAAGCTAGAAAAATGATGTAGCTAAAATAGCACTATTTTTTTTTGTATTTTCCTTGTTATAGATATTGTCGACACTTATAATGCAATACCAAAAATTCAAACCAAAACATCACCACAGGGACAGAACAGACACCTAAAAAGGCCTACACCTAAGATTTGTCAAAGTGACCATATGCAAGTCATCTATTATTATTATTATAATTATTATAGATTAATTAATAATGCAGTGTGTGGGGGCATTGGAGGCTGCACTGTAATGTGGGTATATTGGGAAGTAGGTACCCTTGTTTGCTGCAGATCTGTGGCTGCTTAAGAAGCAAGAAAGATTGAAACTTTCGAAGTAAGAATCAAGATTGAACTAAGACCCACTTGAGAGGAGAGAGAGAGAGAGAGAGAGATTTGAGGTGTGGTGTTGTGTTGGGTTGGGTTTTGGTTTTGGTTTTGGTTTTGTTAAGATGAGGCGCTGGCGTGGCGTGAATTAGCAGTAAATATGGGAGTTATGGCCATTAATAAGTAAGGTAAAGTGGAGCTGTAAAGGGATTAGATGTTATATCAACTTCAGAAACCTGCCAACGTTTCTCTCTGATTAGTGATTATCCTTCAACTATTATCCTTAAACAAATGAGTTGTTGGGGGGTTTTCTAATTAAATTCACTTTCCTAAAATTCTCTTGCTTGTTGATTTTTTTGCGTTGCCACTGGTCTTGTGATTCTGACCAAATTGGGACATGATGAAGACAAAGTCTGCTTAGTCCTTATCCCTCCTTGATTTTTGGCTGCTTAATGTTTATTAATCAAGAAAAATGAACAGTTTAAAAAAAATATTAATTAATTAATTTTGTGTTTTAAAATTAATCGGATTAATGAATATTCTAATTATATTATTTTGATAAGCCCGTTATGATCATATTGAGTTGGACTTTTGGCATCTGTTGGTATTGGACCTAGTTAGGCAGCAATGTAGGCTTCAGTATAACCCTGATTTTCTGTGATGGGTAGATCCAGTGGACACAAACTCTTTTTAGGATATTTGGCTATGTCTCCTCTCTAGCTTATTTATATTGGGATTAAGTCCCATGAACCATCATACTCCCATCGTAGAAAGCTTCCATTTTGGAATAGGTCATAGAGAAGAAGACTCTAGCCAGACCAAGGTTCTTCGCTCAGTAGATAAGATAGCCCAATCAGATATACAAATTCCTCTCAGAATAAAAATTGATATGTGATATTTTATCTATCATACATGTATCAATCTTTATGTTAAATTATTATATGAAAAATTCTTACACCATGTTCAAATCTAAATTTTCATTGTATAGAAACATGTTTAATAGTTTAAATGAGTACTTGATAGTCAATTGCGTAGACCAATACTAACAATTTCTTAGCGAGTTTTGGAATACAATAACTAATTTTTTTTGTTAATTGAATATGAGTATGGCTTTATGCCATATCCTAATAGTTTACCAAAGAGTTTATGAGAAGCAAAATCATGTCCAGGAACTAATCGTATTCAGACAAGTGGTGACATGCCAAAGATAATACAGCAACTTCAAATGCTGGTGTTGCACTTGCTGGATCCATACTGTGTATGTGGTGAATTATGCTAACCATTTAATAATTTGTTGACGGAATGGGGATTGTAGGAGTCATCTTTAGTGGTGTGGTCTCCATAGAGGCCCTGCACATGGCTTTGATTTGATGGTGCCCTTACTTAAACTCAAAATAGTCAGAGAAGTATTGATCATGTCACACAGCTAAGCCAATATGCCCTTTATCATGCGATGGTCCTCCCATCACGTGCACGATGCCCGTGATGACTTCAAGGACACATCACGCAAGTGCTATTGTGCTAAAGTGGTGGTGGGATCTCTCTCTCTCTCTCGCTATTGTTTTGTTGGTTTTATATACGTGTTTTCTTTTTGGAGGTTTGAACTAATGCTAAAAGATGAACATTTAATGAAAAAAGGTTTAAAGGCTTTCCTTGAGTGAGGATCACCGAAAAGAGGATATAAACTATAATTATCTGTGTAAGAGAGACGCTTTCCTTAAGGTTGTTATTGGATCTTATGGGCCTTGCCATTCACAAGCGACATATTACCATCTCCATAAGTCAATTTCATGGGACCCTCAACACTTTAATTATACTTTAATCGAAATACTAACTAACAACTAAAGTATGACACTTTACGATAATATAATATTAACAAAACAAATTAGTATATAATAATTGACCATATAACTTCTTCTTTTTTGTAATTTAGAGTATTTTGTATTAGCTTGCTCACTAAGATTGATTTAATCTACCAGTCCAATTTAAGGTAGGTCATCCATGTTGAGATTAAAAAAAATGGTTAACGAATTTTATTTTTCAACATATTCTCTGTTGTTGAATGAATTTTGTGTCGGTTACATTAAATAAAGAGTGAGCTTAAGTCATTCAATGAGATCCACATAAAATTCCTTCAATAATAAAAAAAATGTTTTAAGAAAAAATATTTCTATTTACTCTCTCGTACTTATATAAAAGTGAATGAGTTCTATTTTTTTTAAAAAGAAAAAAAATAGTAAAATTCACTCACTTCTATATGAGTATGACAAAAATAAAATTTTACAATCAAAACATAAATATTACACTCTCAGAAAAATGAGTCAAATAATATTTTGTTTGTTTTTTCTCAAAAAAAGTTCAGGACAAATGTTAAAATTTGTGTGACTCCGTATTAATTTTATAATTGATTTAAAGAGTTGAATTCAAACCAACAAAATCCATTTAGTTGAATTTAAATCCGTTATTTCATTTAGTCCAGAAGATTAAGGAGCTTCTTAGTAGGCCTTGGGTGGTCAGAGTTTAGAATGTTCCAAGAGAAAGAAATCAAGTAGTTGATTGTCTTGCAAAACAGAAAATTGCTCATGCGATGAATATGCATATTTTTCTTAATCCTGCTTTGGGATGTAATAGCCTGATCCATATTGATCAGAGGGGAGTATCAGTACCTAGACCTGGTTAATGTGGTGTTTTGTTTTTAATTTCTAATATATTTCCAAAAAAGAATAAACAACAAAATTTGACATAATTGATAGATAGTTGGATCCTTTAAATATGTTGAAAGCGATTTAATTCTTGACCATATATATAGAAAATGCTTTGTTGCGAGAAGTTGTATTCACGATGATACGATCTCTAGAGAAATAGTCCTCAACTTTCAGTTGAGGAATACACAAATAATCGAATTCAAATGGGATATCAGGAAATTCGATTTGCCAGTAGTAAGGATTGGTTGAAAAAAAAAATCGTATGACTCTGATTATACTCCTTGACATGTCATTACGTCAGCATATGGCATTAATTACTCACGACACTGGAATTCGACATATAGAAAGCATTAGTTTACTAATTAATGATGACTATGTAATTATACCCTCTACCTACTCGAGTTTCATTAAAATCATTTATTATAATATAATCCTGTAACACAAGATAAAATAGAAAAATGAATGTACATATGTTTAGGATTTAAGATTTAATTAATTCTCAATAAATAATAACTGTTAATCAATAAAAATTAACGGATAAAATTTAGTGTCAAATTTCAAAATTTGATATCAATAATTGAATATCAAAAGATCATATACATATGTTTAGATACAATTTTCCATTGTCTTTCACTCTTTCTTGCTAGCATTTTATTTTATTTTATTTTTTGGTTGTCAAAACTGATTATGTACCAAAGAATTGACTCTGAAAATAACGTACAACAGGCAAAAGGGTGGCACAAGTTTTAGAGCATGATTTAAAAACTATAACATTTGTTATTGTTTGAGATTATTTGTAACGTATATTGTTTGAATTCTTTGTAACCGTAGGACTGTTTAGATAGAGTATTTATTTGTTTTAGTCTGTTACGTTGTTACCATTTATTGTATGTTCGCCTATTTGAAGGCTACCAATGAATGAGATAAACACACAGTTGAAATATCAAGTTTATCTTGGTATCAGAGCCATCCTAGTATATACGTTTCCGCATTCCCTTTGCGCCAATCACCCCGAAACTGGTTTTCCAAACTCAGCAGTTCGTTGACGGCATATGGATTTGTTCAGTTAAAAGCTGATTACACGCTCTTTACTATGCAAAAAGGGGAGGTGTCTCTTGCACTTGTAGTTTATGTCGACGACATCATCTTAGCAGGTAATAATTCACATGCTTGTCTTGCAATCAAGGAGTATCTGAATCAGTGTTTTAAAATAAAAGACCTGGGTAGTCTGAAATATTTTTTGGGTATTGAAATTGCCCGCAGGAAGAAAGGAATATTTTTATGTCAGCGTAAGTATGTCCTGGATATTCTTTCTGATTCCGGGCTCAGTGGATGTAAACCGGCGATTTCCCCCATAGAACAAAATCATCGTCTTGCCTTGGATGACGGACTAATATATGAGACCCCTGAACGATATAAAAGACTCATTGGTAAGTTGATTTACCTCACTATCACAAGACCCGACCTGAGCTATGTTGTTCATATCCTTTCTCAATTCATGCATTCACCGCGCCTAGCTCATTATGAGGCTGTTCTCCGGGTTATTCGATATGTAAATAGAGATCCTGGTCAAGGACTTCTCCTCAAATCGGATTGTGACCTAAAAATTCATGCCTATTGTGATTCGGATTGGGCTTCATGTCCTCTTACCAGACGATCTCTCACTGGTTTCTTTATTATGTTGGGTTCTTCACCCGTATCCTGGAAGACCAAGAAACAAGTAACGGTGTCTCGCTCTTCTGCAGAAGCAGAGTATAGATCAATGGCTGCAGCTACAGCAGAGATTGTGTGGCTCAAGTCGTTTCTCACCTCTTTTGGGGTCACTCACTCAAGTCCTATGGAATTGTTTTGTGATAACCAAGCTGCTTTACACATTGAAGCGAATCCGGTGTTTCACGAGCGTACCAAGCATATTGAGTTAGATTGCCACTTTGTACGTGAACATATTCTAGCCAAGCATATTACAACAGCTCATGTGCCTTCTCGTTCCCAACTTGCTGATTTGTTTACTAAAGCCTTGGGACAACGCGAGCTTCTTAGTTTTCTTCCCAAGTTGGGCATTTCATCCTTACATACTCCAACTTGAGGGGGAGTGTTGGAGATTATTTGTAACGTATATTGTTTGAATTCTTTGTAACCGTAGGTTTGAATTCTTTGTAACGTATATTGTTTGAATTCAATTCTTTGTAATCGTAGGTTTGAATTCTTTGTAACGTATATTGTTTGAATTCTTTGTAACTGTAGGACTGTTTAGATAGAGTATTTATTTGTTTTAGTCTGTTACGTTATTACCATTTATTGTATGTTCGCCTATTTGAAGGCCACCAATGAATGAGAAGATAAACACACAGTTGAAATATCAAGTTTATCTGTTATCAATATTTAAACTTATATTTTTTTAATTTATGAATCAAAAAATTATTAAAACACATATTCAATGATTTTTTAACTAAATATAATAGAACTCACAGGCGACATGTTTTGTTTTTTTTTGGAGATATTATCGATTATGGTTTTGCCACTAGTTTGATTTGAGACGGGTCTCAAAATTTAAGCTTTAAACTTAACTACTCTCATCTTCATTTACTCAATTTTATGACGTCAATTCAGCTACGGTTATTTGATTAGGCGATGGGTTTATAATGAGACATTAATACACCCATATAAACGGGCCTACTCGTGGGCTTGGCCATGAAGAATGGCAAATCTGAAGAAAAAGTACAAAACTTATCCCTGATTTGTAGCGTACATGAAAATGGTAGGCTAAAAACACTTGGGCCTAAGCGATGCAGAAACGACCATTTATAAATGCTACAGCAACCTCGGTGACAGCAGATGATTTCATGTGTCACAAAGGTTAGTACTATCTCAATTATTAAAATAACTATTTTTCTTCTCCATTTTACAAAGATAATATATTTTTTATATTATTCATCGACGATTCCTTGATACAAGATTAATTCGAGTCAAGTAAGATAATGTAACTGCATTCCAAGAATTGGAATTTGAAACCAGTGACTAAGTTAAAATAATTCCATGTCAACCCCAAAGGTAGCTCAATTAGCAGCTGAGCTCCCAAGGGATTGTTTGGTGCAGGGATCAAACTCTGCCTCAAGCAGTTTCTTGAAAAATCTTTGGGGACCAGAGGATAAGCCAAAAAATCTTCGGTTGGGGTTACAATGAGGAGCTAGCCCAAACGGGCCGTACCCCAAGGGCATGGTACCCGGAGAAGGTTGAATGTGGATACCTCCTGACAATGTATCAAAAAAAATAAAAAAATAAAAAAATTCCATGTCAATTGATCCATTAAGCTGGAATAACTGCTTAACAGTTGATTTGTACTTAGTAGTTACAAAAATATTTTTTATATATATTTAATAAGTATCAATTTATTATTAAGACTAATCAAGATTCTATCCATAAAATCAGACACGCCACATGACTCAAGTAGGAATCATCAACAAATGAAAGGAATCGTTAACAATAAGTCAAACCAAAGAAGATTTTATTCATAACTCTTGAATTTTTACCTATAGGCATATATAGCACTCAATTTGATTTACCTTGAAATAAAACAAAAGAACAAATCTTATGAAGGATTGGTGTTGGAATCTGTTACACGAGCATTCTTCCAGCATGAGGAGAAACATCCACATCCAGTTAAAGTTTGGGCGTGAGAACTCGTTGTGCATGTTGTAGGGATCTTGGTCTTGGCTCTTCTCTCTTCTTCATTTATTTTTTCCCTGTATAGCTTTCGCATCACGTATGTTTCAGCAAGACCAAACCCTGCCATCGACATGAAGCAGGTTTTGTGGACAATTATGCAAATTTGTAAGGAAAGGTGGTGGTGGGGGATTACTTATATAAGCAGTGTGTGACCTGAAACATTTGGCTTTGGGAAGAAGCAATTAAGGGCTACCCTCTCTGAATTGGTTAAGGCAGCCGAGTCAGTGTCTTGTTTTTTAGGGTATGGTAGGTAGAGTTTATGTCATCATTTATACTTTCATTATGGTCACCTATAAAGTCACGTACCAACTTACTCTTTTTTCCAGTCACTTGTATATGGAGATTTTAGTAGTGATTTTAAGAGTGTATCTCCTTATGTTTGTTTATATAATAATGTCATGTACCAAATTTGAGTCTTCATTTCAATGATGACAAAATTTGTAAAATAATAAATAATAATTTTAATTGGTGATAATTAATCTATAAATGAATGGCTTTAGATAGTGTTTGGTTAGGTCTTATTTTTGGATCCCCATTCATATGATATTGGCATTTCATGTTGCCAATATTTAGTAGCAGAAATACAAAAACTTACCCATCAATATGTTTTTCCATTCTTTGTGAATTGCATGCAAAAAGAGAGAGAATGCACTCTTGAGATTTATCATTTGTGAGGTGGTATTTAAAAAAAATTAGAGAAATGGAAAAAGATGAACCAAAAATATGACTTATTTAACCCAATTTTTTTGATAAAATTTTGTCCAATTAAATCATTTTTTTTTAATTTTTCTACCAAACTCACTTTTCTATGTTTCTTATCTCATATTCCTGATTATTACAAACGCTCCTAAATTACGATAAGAGGAAACATGAGAAGATCTATCCGTGTGATTTTACATATGACGTCATTTACTTTTGGGTGTGATTTATAATTACAATAACTACTATTTTTAATATTAGTGTGTAATTGAATGTATTAAACAAATCATACCGAAATTGATTTTATAGCAGAAAAATGATTAATTAAGTAAATTTTATGTAGATTTTATTAAAAAATAAAGAACGAGTCTAAATTATTTAGTGAGACCTAATAAAATCTAATTAATAATAAAGATATGAAAAATATGTAATGTATGATGAAGTTAGACTGGCTTAGGTCAGTAATAATGCCCCAATTTTATTTTTAAGATAATAGTTGGATCTGACATGCCAAATAAGGTTAAAATAATAATAATTAGCAATACATTATGTAATATACAAAAATTCATCGCCGACAACACTAGAAAACAAACACCGAGGTTTTTTTTTTTTTTTTGGATACAGACACCGAGGTTTTCAAGCCACGTTTTCTCAGTAACAAACACAGAGCGAAGCCACACCATTGATTAAACCCATGATGATGTTCATGATTGTCTCTATCTCTCTCTCTCGTCTTTCCCGCATGTAATGTAATTTCATGATATTCATGATACAGTTCAATCCTTTCTTATCTGTTCACTATCCCAGCGATTATTTGCTTTTGGCCCTTTGAGTAAGTAGATTCATTCTCCTCCCCCAACTTGTAGCTTTCAAAAGTTGGGATTTTTAAGCACGGGTTCTTCCGGGTTTCCATTGGGTTTCGGACTTTCGGTGATTTTGAGTTAACCCTTCTCACTCGGTTATATCTTCTCATTTGGTCATTTCATTACAAGTGCACGTATTTGCATATGTTGGTTTTGGGTTTTTTGTTTTTTATATGAATGAATCACTATTGGGTTTATGCATAAATGAAAGACATGTTTTGAAAAAATTTCTTATAACTTTATGCAGGTGATTTCTGGCACACTGTGGCAGGTTGATGGTTCATATTGCTCTAAAAGCAAGTAGATTCCTCTATCAACATTCGGAAGCCCTCGATTTTCCCATTGCCATTAGTGGTTGTGTGACTTGTGTCTTTCATTCAGGAATTAGTTCAATGAAAGAAATAAATTCTAAAATGGTTTCTAATTTGTGTACTCTTGCCCCCAATGGTGAACCCTGCATCACAGATTCCTTCTCAGCCAGTGAGGACCCTGATACTTCATCTATGAGTGTGAAATCTACCCCTGAAATTGAAAAGAAGTTTGTCCATCATGTTTATGATGCTATTGCTCCACATTTCAGTTCCACCCGGTTTGCCAAGTGGCCAAAGGTTGCCACATTTCTATCATCTTTGCCTTCAGGATCTCTTGTCCTGGATGCCGGATGTGGGAATGGGAAGTACTTAGGTTTAAATCATGATTGTTTTTTTACAGGATGTGATATAAGTCCTTCCTTGATTAAAATATGCTCGGATAGAGGGCATGAAGTTCTGGTTGCAGATGCTGTGAATCTTCCTTACAGAACTGGTTTTGGTGATGCAGCAATATCTATAGCTGTGTTACATCATTTAAGCACTGAAAATAGAAGGAGAAAAGCAATAGAAGAATTAGTCCGAGTTGTTAAAAAGGGTGGCCTTGTTCTGATTACAGTTTGGGCTGTAGAACAAGAGGATGGATCGCTGATTACCAAATGGACTCCACTTAAAGAGAAGTATGTTGAAGAGTGGATAGGACCAGGAGGTCCTTTTACTAGGGCCCCTTCATCCTTATCATTAGAAAGTATTTCAGAAAGTGAGGAGAGTAGCTCAGGTGAGCACATGAAAGTTTGCAATGATTCAAAATTATCAAGAGATTTGAAGGAAGAAAAAAATATGAAGAATCAACAGGAATATTTTGTTCCTTGGCATTTACCTTATCATCGTGCCGAAGTCAGTGGTGCTTCTGCGCATGCTCTTGCTACTGGTCTGGCAACTAAAGATGACAAAAAGGGTGCTGTAGTGTATAATAGATATTATCATGTTTTTAGTGAAGGCGAGCTTGAAAGGTAACATTTTCCCTCCTCCATTAGAATTTTTCTATATGAATATGGAACAAACCTTTAATCCATTTCTTGTTTAGCTTATCATAGCTTGTAAACCACTGAACCAAGTCTTCTGATGTAATATTTTTTTTGAATATCTTGTTATTGAAGGTTTTCTTTCATTCCCCCCCCCCCCCCCACTTAATAGGTTGGTAAAGTTAAAGTTACACACACCAACCAGGCTTTGTGTTTGGTGTGCTTGATCTCGGATATCAATTGTGCTATGTTAGCATACTTCATATCTGAACCTAGAAATATGGAGTGTATAATCAAAGTAAAGTAGGACACTCGGATGAGAATCAGACATTAGCTTCAGTAAAAGCAGTTCAATGTTCAAACTTGAAAGTGCTGCTTCAGTGTTAACTAGTTGTTAAATGATGAATAGTCAAATTTGCTGCTTCTTCTTTGGCCGATCATAGAGATTGTGTTGCTATTTATTAGAGGAAAAGCTAGGGTAGAGGTCATTATACTTTTGAAAATATAAGCAATGGTCTTCAAAAATAACGAAGAAGGGACTTTAAATATTCTGAAATTAAGTGGCCAGTGTCATGTCATTGTGTTTCTTCTTTACCTCTTAAATTAATCAACAGCGTCTGAGGGTGCAATGAACATATATAATTACCTTTTTTTATGGTTTCCTTGCTAATCTATGTTTCAAAATGAACATCAAATTTTAAAAGGAGGATAGTGCAGAACTATGTTTCAGATGACTTGACATGCTTATGTGGATAGGTTACTTCTGATTTCTAACTTATTTTCATATCTTTTTGCAGTTTGGCAACTGGAATAAACAATGCTAGAGTTGTTGATCAGTTTTTTGATAAATCCAACTGGTGTATGATTCTAGAGAAGATGTCATAACCAAGAAAGAAACCTAGCTGGTATGTTAGGGAACAAAAGTTGGATGCTGCCCCTTAAGACATCTGTCCAACTTATCACCCTCAAGTGAGTATAGCAGGCCAGAGAGTAGTATGGAAACTTTAACAATGTTTATCTTGCAACTAAACTTCTTTTAGCTTCTAAATTCTTGATATAAAAAATGGACAGTTTGATAACTTGGTCAGTAATGATTGGCTGACCTTTTTATCATCCAAATCAGGCTACAATCTTGAAGCAACCCCAAGTTACTGTTTTTATTATTCTTTCTTTCTGATTTGCAAAACCCAATTTTTATTGTAACAATTGAGCACGAAGGACACCAATGTTGTGTGTGTTGATGTTGTTGTTACTGGGAACTGTGTGTACCCTAACAATGCTGAACATCTTTTAGCCACCTTCACACCAGGAGCAATTACAATGATTTCATGTACTGGACAGTTTATTTGGTGGTTGGATCCCACTATTATGACATCTTTGGTTCCGTGGTAGCGCAGAGCCCATATCATTGTTCGGCCCCACCGTCTAACTTAAGAAGATTATGTGAGCAATTTAAAACGTGAATATGTACATTTTGAATGCGGTAATAGGAGCTGAATGTTGAACCTGGTTTGGCTTTCAGTCAGAAACTTATGATTCTGTTATGCCTTTGCTGCAGTGGCTTCTGTTATGCCTTGAAGAGAAGCAAAATTTGAACTAGACTGAGTATTTTACATGGTCCGCAGCAATTTGATAAGTTGTTTCCTCCGTCAGCTACTAGATAATGTGTCTGTATGAGTGACTTTGAAAGTGTGAGGCTGCCCGCCGTTGCATGTAACGAATTTTGACATTGATAAGGTTGTATTTTTAAGAGCTTTGATTTTCTCAGGTGCACGAAAATTATTGAGTTTCATACATAAAATAAAAAACTTTGTATGCAAATCAAACGGTCATGTGAAGTGTTTTTTCCTATTTTTAATATTGGTTGAACAAAGATGAGGTTATATTTTCACCCTTATTTTGCTCACTTATAACTGTATATAACAATAAACTAATTGCGTAGGTTCTTTTATTTTACCTTACAGACAACAATGAACAAACAAAGGAGAAAGATCTCCGATCTATCACTTTTGTTTTTGTTTGGTTCTTGCCCGTTTACAAAGTTCTAAATAAAGAACTTAGATTTTCAACCCCCTTAATTTCACTCCTTCCTTAAATTTCTGACAGTTGTTTTTAGTAAAAATGAGTCACAAATTCACAATGTTATGCCTACATATATAAACAAGCAATAAGCAAACTATAAACTTGAGATTTGTGACATAATTTCTGAATTCTGACCCAATGTTCGTATAAATGTATATAACCGTAATAGTAGATCCATTTAAGTTCAACCAATTTTTTTATTTTAGAAATAGATTCAGGTTGTGCTTTGTGCAGCAAAAAGAATGTAATAGTTGGCATTACTCACTAGCCCCCAGTGTGATGCCGCTGTATCACAAGTTCAAACTCTTTCATGCAGATTGCATTTGATGGACTATCTTAAATTGCATCAAACAATAACACATACGAACAAGTAATTATAGAAAGACCAGTTAATAAAGAACAGGAAATGATAGAAACATATTTTCCTCAGGCCCTATTTTTGTCTACCTCGTCTACCCTTATATAGAGATTAATGAAATGGGCAGAAAAGTTATCATACGACATTGATTACTTTAGTAATAATTTGTCTGATAGAAAATCGGTATCAATCTACGTGACATATTTACAGGACTTCGATAGCACACGCTAGCTGTTCAAACCCCAATCATAAGGCTGATATGTCACCTTCAACTCAGAAGTAGCAAACAGGTCCAATAATACTTCCGAGTCAGCTGGATCTAAGTAGTTGGATACATGCTTGATCACCTCTACCTCGCTCTTGCCAAAATCTATACTATACCTGAGAATGAACAAGGAGAAATAACTATTTTCAGGTTTCAATATTTCCATGATAAAACTTTAATTTTAGCACTGCTCATTATAGTGTATTTCATTTAACAACCATTGATAATCGTGAATGCATGTACATATACAAGTTTTACGTATAATATTAAACAAACATCAGAATGGATTTTAACTAACTCATTTGCATTTCTGCAAGATCCCTTAATGTATTTATAAGTTCAAGTGACACTACCCGCTAGTCAAACTTAAAAAATTAAAGCTTAAATACTTTGAGTTTGAACCATTCAGTCAAGTATAGAATTTGAAAGATTTGCTTTGTAATCGTCACAGAATGTGAGTCTATAAGAAATATTAAACGAGTTCTTCTTTGCTTAAATTTACCAAAAGTCACATCAATCATATTCAGAATCCCCCCTTGAAAGAACTTACCATTTAAGAATCTTACTAGCATATACAGCCTTTGCAGTCAAGTCAATTACAACGCCTCCACTTCTCAGGAAATTACGGGCTGCATCCATTAATTCTTCGTCAATATTTCCAGGAGAATAGCACCGAAGTGCAGGCCCAGATCGGGTACCATATACCAAAGCAAAATGAATAAGAGGCTCAGGGTAAGGGAGCGCCACCTGACAAAGAAAAAAAGAAACGTGAGCATCAAAGTATGCATGCTATTCAGGTAATTTCATGGTGAAGGCACACGTGCCAAACAAGAGTTTTTGTTAAATGCTGGCAAAATAATTTCTTGGGTGCAGTCTGGAAAGGATTTAGCATTACACAAAAAAAGAAAAGAAAAGAAAACTCTAGACAATGTTAAATTAGTTTAGAGAAAATGGAATAAAAACAAATTACACTAAAAGTATGTTATTTTTTTTAATATGACTGTTGATTTTATGACTCTTACGATCATATATATAAAATATATTTCAAAGCTTAAAATTGATGAACTAAATTGTATAACTAGGTCAAAAGTATTCCTAACAAATTTACTTTATTAACAGCAATAAATATTTAAATTGCTAAGAGTAACAAATACAAAAAATTAGTAGCTTACCCTTGAGCGTTTATCTTTTGCACCAAATGGCTTCTTAAGGTTATATGGTGGTCGCTGGTTTCCCCTCAATATGCCATTTTGAATAGCTGAAAGTGAGTAGGTGGACCCACCAATAACATATTTGAACTCTCCAAATAATTTCCTTCTTTCCAGTGCTCCATCTGGATGACCCAATACTAAGATTGCGTGGATGGCCATCATATTATAAAGATTAATAAAGAACGCTAGCTTCTCTTCTCTAGACAAATCCCATATTTCCACTCTTTGGAGCTCTTCGACTATTCTCATATACCTAAAATGATAATTGTACAAATAACAGTGAAAATTTCTAAAAATAACTGAATGGATTATCAAGATTGCACGGCACGTCTAAGTTCTAACGCAAGGCAAAAGACAGAAAACGTTAACCAAACCTTGCGAACTCTTCACTTTCATGCATACTAGTATAATCAACACGACGTCCGTCTTCAGAAACATAGGCTTCAAAGATTGCATAGCACAGAAACCTTAGCCTCGATGCAATTTCTGCTAAAGGCTTGGGCGTCAGGGTAAGTATGCCCCTAGGAATGTTGTGACATTGTGACACGACAATTGGATCATCATCCAAAAACCGATACAAGTGATTGCCATCCTCAAATAGATTCTCACTAAAGCACAAGAAAAATCATTGAAAACCGGGAAGGATTATCAAATCTGTAACAACTAACAAAACATAATTATAACAAAGGAAAGAGGATACACCAAATAGAGTGCTTTGACTTACTCAAGAACATGTCGAAAGAAAACTTTGCTAGCAAGCTTTCGTGCAAAATCAACAGCCTATACCCCCAGACAAGAGTTAGAAAGAAGATAATGACATTATGAAGCTAGAAATTGTATTAAATGTATCTGTGGGATATTCAGTGGATGATTTGTTTGATCATGTAATTGAAAATATAGCAAGACCAAATTCTATGTAATAAATGATTACATATGATAAGAGAAGTTTAAATGGGTTGTTTAAGGGTATTAGACCTATGCTTGAGACTTAAGGTCAAGCTTACCTCATGCCTTTCCAAATATTGATCTTCTGATAAGAAGTCCACAGCATCTGAGCCAAGAAAACAGTTAGTGAACCTACGCATTTTGTGCAATCGGTCCTTCACAGCAATAGATTCTTTCATTTTGCGGACAATAACAGCCAATTCATCAAGTGCCCCACTACTGGACACCTCATCCTCTCCAGAAAGAGGCGGTGATGGGGCCTCAAATAATGGTGCTTCAGTAATAAGAAAGTCAATCTTCTCATCAAGCTCGCTAGACTCATCTAAGGTTTTTAGCTCACTCAAGCCTCCAATAAGTATTTCATTGAAATAAACCTTGGGAACAAAAGAAGATCCAGAAAACTTCTCCAGCTCCTTCTTTCTACTGGGGTACACATCTATGTTAATTTCCACGTATCTAAGCCTTTTCATATGCAAAAATAGCCTAATCTCTTTAGATTCTTGGCACCCTAGTTTTGTGTAGAGAATTATCCTTCCTTTCATGGCTATGGGTGGTGGTGGACCTTCAGTTATTGAATCCCTCTGCTCAGTTTTGTTTTCCACATCAATATCAGATGACTTCTTAATATAATTTAAGGGATTCCAGGCGAATTTCTCCACTGTCTTCTCGGAAACCACCTTGGTTTCACTAGTTTTTGAGAAGTCTGAAACATCCTTACCTTCATCATCAAAACTACCCACCGTAGCTTCATCACTTTTTCCAGAAAGGCGACGCAGCATGGTGGAGACTGCGACTGCACTTTTCTCCTTAACTAAATTTTTCAGAGCCACTGCCTTCTCAACCACACCTGGAGACTCCTGATCTGTATCCAACTTGCGGCCAGATGTGCTCCGGCTAGCTTCCATCCCTGGAACCTCTGTTCCATCAAATACAGGCTCCAAATTCTGGTCCTCACTTGGAATTTCATCTGTCTTTTGATTCATCAGCGTTGATTCCATTTCCCTACTGTCATCCTCCTCTTTAGCCGAGTCAATCTGTCCAGAATTGCCATCTAGATTTGCTTCTTGACTTTTAGGCTCAAAATCACCACTGGAATCCACCTTTTCACCAGAATACTCTTGCCCAACAGTATTAACTTCATTTTCGGATCCCTTGGAAGCAGTCTCATTCACCTTTTGAATAGAAATGGTCTCTAAGTTTTCTTGTTGGGTTCCAGACTGCAAATCCCTACTCTCATCTTTCCTCTGAGTCAATTCAGATTCTCCAACGACATCGTCTCTTATTCCCTCGTGAGTATTGTTAGACTTAGACTTCACATCTTTCATGTCATTTATCTCGTCTGATATGTCATCTAGTTCATTGTCAAATTCAGGGCCATCAGGACCAATATTTTGAGCTTTTGCCTCCTCTGATTTTTTATCCTGATCTTCATTCAGAATGGAAAAAGCATCTACTCGCAGCTTCTCAACAGCTTGAGAACTTGCTTCTTTTGTCTCCACTAACTCTTGATTTTCCATGGCAAAAGCAAGCTAGAGTTCATATGCTACAATCTAATTACTAGATCTGCAAGAAATCAGACAACATATAAATTAATAACCGTGTACTCTAATCACCAAGATCTAAAAAATAACCCAAAAATCATCCTCTTGACAAATATTTTTTTTTTTTGAAAATGCATCAAGTGACAGATAGGCGATAGCAACATTATCAATCAAATACTGCTACATAAAAATTGGATTCTTCAAGTCTTAGATAGTAACAGAAATTAAGAGGAAGTAAGTTTAAGCCGTGAGCTGTATTATCGCATCACACACATGGCTTTCAAAGATCTGTATCGTGATTCCCTTGTTCCTCGTGATCTATATTTGTGTGCATCATGAAATATAAATGAAAAACACTTCCCTAACAATCGACAACCTTTCCAAGAGTAATAAATTATAGAATAAGGAAAGCATATTAGCAGGTATAACAATCAATCGCATATTGCAGAATATAAAAAATAAATAGGAAGGGAAAATGAGAAGGGAGAACTTACAGTTAGAGATCCAAGAGGAAATTGAAACGGAAAGGAGTTGATGCGTTTGGAGAGGGATTGTTGACTTGGTTGGTTGTATCTGTTATTATTAGTATTTGGAAGTGAAGGGGAAGGGGTTTTGAGTTACAGAGTTGAAAGCTGAAACCGCAAGTCAGTCAGGTTGACAATTCAGACAAAGTGGAGAAGCGGGAAGTCCGTGGGGCGGCTCTGCCCAAAATTAATTACTTTTTTACATCAATTATTAAAAAAAAAAATTGCATAATTAATTTTAAAAATAACTAAATTTAAAAGTATTGAAAGTTGAAGTTAACATATTATTTTTAAAAAATAAAATAAAAATCAAATAATTATAAATTACGGTAGCATATTTAATAAATAACGTTAATTGTTATGTAAAACGAAATTCTCTCTTTCGAATAAGAACGGAAAAAATATCTAATATATTAATAAGAAAAAATATTTATTCTTTTAAAGGATATAAATTTGTGTCATTTTAGATCCTGAATTTCGTCAATCAACGATTAGAATTTATTAAGTTAAATTTATTATTTAATTAGTAATTTACAATAAAACTCAATAAATTTTATCCGTTAATTCACAAAAATCAACAATTAAAATTTAAAATGACATAAATGATTTTCCCTATTAATAATGTAGAAAACAAAGACTCTCCCTTCATATTTGATAATGGTTTCCTTGCGTTACGTTTAAATTCAGGGGAAAAGATAAGCTTGAGGTGATAGTATAGTAACAAATGAGGATATGATATGTCATATCTGGCTAATTAAATAATTATGATTTCAGGTGTAAATTATGTCATTATTTAGATTTAAATTATGAAAATTATTTTTTGTATCTTTTTAGTTTAGCGCGTGTAACTGAGTATTGTGTAGTTAAATTAGACAACGTGTACACGAAATAATTTGATATTTATCTGGTCACAATAAAAATAAAATTGTGAAAAAAGTACGGCATTCAGCATACTTTATTTAACGTTTTTTCAGATAAATTCCAACTAAATTCGATAATAATATATACTTTACTTCGCAAAATGATAATAATGCCCTAAAACCACAAGGGTTGGTGCAATTTTTTTTTAATTGGTGCATTTGCTACTGTATTAGTACTTTTTTATCATAATATATCATTTTTATTTAGTGGCTTGATCGCATTTATGTGGTATAAAGTCTTGCTAATTGCTTTGATTACCAAAAAAAAGGAAAAAGAAAAAGTCTTGCTAATTGTTTTGATCAAAGGTTTGAATTTTGATACGGTCTAACTTGGCATTAAAAGCAGTCCTAACACGCATTAATTAACCCGGTCATTTCAACAAAAATAAAAATAAAAAACAGTCATATTCAAGCATTCAACTTTTGGAGTGTATTTTGGTATAACAAGTAGGGTGTTCGCGGTTTGGATTGGATCGGTTTTGAAGCAAAAAAATCATCTGATCCAATTCCTTCGGTTTGGTCATTACATCATCCGATCGGTTTGAATTTTTTTTCAAATCCGATCCAATTTTTAAAGTTTAGATTGGATCGGTTTTCGGTTTTTTGAAAAGTCAAAAAAATAGAACTTATAAGAATTATTTTTAGAAAAATGAGTAGTATTATTTGTCATGGATCTTTTGTATTGGTAGTAGCAGAAAATTTTGACAATACCGTAGTAATAAGTCTTCCAAAATCACTAATAAAAAAAATTATTGATCGATGTTCTAATAAAAAAAGTAATGAATTCTTTTACAGAAATCACTGTTTTACTACTTATAAATTATAATGGTCGCAAAAGTGGCCACTATGAACACCGGCCAAAACACAGCTTCTACAAAAAACTTAATCATGTATACTAGATTAACGAAAGTAATCCAGAAATTCCATAACATAGTAAACTTAAAACATAAAACTGAATTCTTCTTACCCATACATAGATCATTGGCATGAATACTACATTAAAAAAAAAAAAAAAAATTGGTAAAAAATAGGTTTGGATTGGATCGATTTTCAACATCCAAACCGAAAACCGATCCAATCCAGTAAATATTTGCGGTTTTTTTCGGTTTTCGGTTTTTCGATTTTCGGTTTTTCGGTTCGGTTTTTGCGGTTTGGATCGGTTTATGAACACGCCTAATAACAAGAGTGAGTAGATACTCTATTATTACCAAAAAAAAAAAATGAAAAGAAATATGGGAAAGATATTGTGACAACCAAGTTGTGTTACTTCCAAGTGACTACCAATCAATCTTACCGTTAGATCGATTATATTGATCCAACGGTTATATTTATTTCTATCTTTGTATGGTCATGATTCCTCAGATTTAATACTTTATATTTATTTTCACCTTTGTATGATTATGATTTCCCATATTTAATGCTTTCACTTTAAATATGGGGAATCATGACCATACAAAGATGGAAATAAATATAACCGTTGGATCAACATAATCGATCTAACAGTGAGATTGATTGGTAGTCACTTGATAATAACACAACTTGGTTGTCACAATATCCTTCCCCATAGAAATAATCATAAAAATAAAGATAGTATAAATATATTACTTTTTTTATATTTGGTAAAAACAATACTGAATAATTAATATATTCGTAGTGCCGAAAATATTTTACAACTCTTGGACTATTATGCATTGCATTAGTTGACTGTAACTTTAGGATGCCTGCCATGTATAATACGTCAACATTTATAATAACATTATATATCGATTACATGAGATATTAGAAATTCAACAAAATAAAATCAAGTATTTTAATAACTTCTTAATGTTATAAAAAACATATTTTTCAGGATAACATATATGTTTAGAAAAATAATTTTTTTCACTGCTTTAACTTATTTTTTAAACACCCATTTAAATAAACTAAAATATTGTAAGGTATGACATAAAAAAATTTGTAAGGTATGACAAACCATTACTTAAAATTGACAACAAAATAAAAGTAAGAACAATCGCATCACCTTAGTAAATCTAAAAAATATGAGTTATAAGAATTTATGCCATACAATATTTACCATACAAAAGTTATCAGGACAAGTTACATAAAAATTAAAGATGTAGCATATCAATATAATGAACATGCAAAAATGAAATAAATAATTAAACAAATACATTTATGATATTTTTCACATATATGACATTATTCATATATATATATATATATATGATAAATATATACATGAATATTGTATATATTTAATTAACAATGAAGAAAAAGTAAGATATAGAATAATAATAATAATAATAATAATAATAATAATAATAAAGATATTATTTGCTTCGACGATTAAATGTTAACTGATACGTGGCAGTTGGAGTTTTGGCATTAGATTTGTAGCTGAAAAGAACTGTGTCTGCCCTCCTTCTCAGCTTAGGGAGCTCATGCAAAAACCTTTACTTAGTAATTTTGTTTTGTTTTGGGGCTTTGTCCTTCCTCTTTACAAAAAAAAAAATAAAAAAAAAAAGAAGAAAAGAAAATAACAGTGTCTAATTGTCTATAAGCTTGTAGGGCTAGTTTAGTGGCGAAGGGGGTGAGTAGTGAATTGTAAGTGTTATGTTTGATTTCTAATGTATTAAAAATAATAATAATTGTGTCTCTTCTTCTTACAAAATCAATACGAATAATTTTAGAAGAAGAAAAAAAAAGAGAGTTGAAAACATTATCATTTTTTTTTGTTCCTCATATCTATATATTCTAACTTCAATTTGCTTAGGTTAGCCTTCATTTACTCCCGTCATCATATTAATTTATATTTTTAACACGCCCTTCATTTAAGAATTTTTGAATAAAAGGTGAACAATGTACTCTCCCAAAAACTTAAACTATTTATGTGAAGACACTTAAATAATTTTTATAATTATATTAATTAAAAAACCTCAACAAGCGTAGGAAAAGAAAATAAAAAATTGAAAAGTGTCATTTATATGATTATCTCGTCAAGATACATAGCATTTTGTTTCAAATTAATTTAATTTAATTAAAAATATTTATCTAAATTATTATACAAAATAATATCTGATTTGATTAACAAATTTCATGTTTGTAATGAAATTTTAATTATTTTATTTTATCATTTACTTACAATAGATAAATAAATAAGAATAGAAAAAAGATAAAAATTAAAAAAGATAAAATTATCAATTTAAATTATGAAAAAATTATTTCTCTTGCCATCGAAATAAATTTTTTTCCTACAATATTAAAATAACGTCGTTTTAAAAATTAAAAAAAGACGGAGCATTTTAAAATTTTACTTCTATCTTATAACATTGATTTTTGATTTTTAATTGATAGCATGTCCTTGTTCTGAGATGTTTCAAAGTACGTCAGAGTATCTCACCCATATGTGAATTGAAACGCGTTTATTTTGAGAATGGATATTTTTATGTCTCATCTTAATATGATCGAGATATGTGAGAAATCTTGATCATTCATTAATTGATTAATATTCACAATTTTAATGAAAAGGGTCATATAAAACAAAAAAGAAAAAACAGTGAACCTGGCCCCTTCACTTATATAGATAAATTACCAATCGCTAAGCCACAAGCCCACAATAATATGACTATTATTACACTCATTATATATATATATATATATATATATATATATATATATATATATATATATATATCCGATTCAACCAAATACTCACTAATTAAATCAATATTCCATTGATCCAATAACTTAATCGAGTCAGTATGCCCTATCCAAATATAATAGAATTAATTAGATGATCATTTAACGACAGTTATTATGGAAAACTTGTGCCTGGTTTGGCGCTTCAGCCCTTGGGCTTTTGTTAGTCCAATGACAAGTTGTCATATCATTGGTCAATGCTATATGTGGGCTGCCATAATTGGGCTCTCTTCTTGCGCAGATTAAAATCCTAATGCTTTCAGATTTAATTGCATGAAAAGTGGCCTTGAAATTAGGTTACATTGATTTTTTTATTTTTTTTTTGGTAAACCGAGTCTACATTGATTTAATATCACCTGCTATAACAAAATACTGAGAAATCATCTATCCAAGGTAGATCACTCTGATTTT